CAAATTCAAACAAGCCTGAAACAGACCAGAGTTTGTCAACATTAACATGCTGAGAGAGACGGGTCACAGATCAGTGTTTGATGCCAACACCAACAGAGAGAAACGCCAGTGCCAATGATGGCCGCCACCAATGTCCATTTCACTTCTAATTTCACCACTCTCGCTCTGTTGTCTTAACAACAGCAACAGATAGAAGTTACTAGTTTTGTATATATGTAAATAAATTATACATTTATTTACCCACACTCAATGTCCTCTTTTGCTTGATGCTTGTATTTACATTTGTCAAGGCAGAGAAGGAATTAACCTCCACAACAGTAACAACAACAAGGTTCGGTATTGCAGGTTACCCATTTCCGCCTCTGCAACAGTATGCATGCAAAAGAAAGAAGCTAATTAAAATTAGGAATTATGTGGGTGATGCTTATCTGTGAGTTACCATCTCTTTGAGCCAATAGAGTTTATCTCCAGTTTATCAGATAGATTCTTTAAATCCAAGAAATTCTTGAATTGAAAATCAAAAGAAGGTGACTTCAGCTAAGGAGATGCTCTGTGAGCAGGTCATTCTGATCTGGGCTTATAACCTTGAAGTTAAATTCTACAACAACTTGGAAAATGACTTCCCATGATCTGACAGAAGATAAAGCAAAAGTGAACATCTACACTCTCTTGAATCTTTGTTGGGATCCAACTACCCAGGTTTTTGCTGCTTAGTGTTAGGATTCCAAACATTTAACAACAGCAACATCAACACATCTTTTAAATGAAATAAAAGGTTATTTTATGAAGGAAAAGTAGAAGTAGAACATCAGTTGAACTAACATTTATATATTCTTTTCAGAGATATACAATGACAATAAAATGTTCTATTTCCCTTGCAGCAAAGTTTGTTTTATAAAGTAATTAAATGTTCTTAGGGTGGTGTGAAATATGTGCCACTTACTTTATGACAGTCAGCCTAATATCTTTGTGAGTTCGTAGTTAGTGGTAGCTGGTTAATCAGTTCTATTGTATGTGTGGACAAGGCCTTAATCAGTGGCTGCTGGCTGTTTTTCTTCCATTGTGTGCATGTATGTGGGTACGTGTGTGTACAGATGTGTAGATCAAACTGGCCTCCAAAATTGTTTTGAACTCTGAGAAACAATAGGCTTCTATTTTTATATCAGTAAGGGGAATCTGAAATGTAATTTCACAGATATGTGTGAACTTTTTGAATACAAAGTTTTCATTAGTTAAGAAATAATTCCATACTAGCTCGCAAAAGTCCTTTTCTCAAATTTGTGGGAGTGGTGAAAGGAGTTATTGTTATTTTCTAAATGGTCCAGAAATAACACGTTGTAGGTCTACAACTACGTCCACAAGTATTTTGGCAGTATTTGCTCTTGATCAAACAAACCTTCTGGTGGAATTTTATTGGTTGAAAAATATAATTCCTACACCTGGCTATTGCTAATTTGGGACCGATTAGGGACTAGTAATAAAGAAAAAAAACATTTTATAAGAATATAAAACAGTGCAAACTATAGATAAAGCATAACATGAAATGAATATCTACATAAGAAAAGCATGCTGGGAGGAAAAGAGAGAAAGACAGGAAGTGTCCTGTTTTTATTGCTGCTCTAATAACTTCTTGGTAAAACTGGTGAAGCTCATGCTAATGAGAAGGAAGGACATTAAAAAGAAGTGAATTCAAGGAGACAGAAGATTACAATTGATGTTGCATTTATATTTTTGAAGATCATAGTTAACAAGAAAGCAAGAAACTGGAAGAGAAGACACTCTTAGAATAGAACTTATTAGCAATTTCAACAGTAAAATGGTGAGACCTAGCTGTCAATCTTGTCAGTTTAATTATGTGCCATGTGTGATACTTGCTTAGGCGATCATGTATCTTTCAATACATGACTAATGAGGCAGATTTTTCCCATAGTAGGTTGCCATTTTTTTCTGCGGTAGACTAGTTGCCATGCAGTCTGTCCTTCTATTTACCCATAGCTGGGAGGAGAAGAGGATTCATACCTTTCCCAAGGGTATTAGCATGTAAGTGAATGTAATGGATTTGAATGGAATTTGATCATGGCTCACCAATTCCTCAATCTGAGCCACTATCCATGACTCCACCGTGTCATGAAGTTGAGGAAAGAAGAAAGCTCATCAGAATAATTACTATGAAAATATTTATAGAAAAGCTATGTTATGGTGGTGGATATTTGTGTAAAAGTAAATGCAATGAATTCAACTGGAATTTGAAATCAGCTGTCAGATTTCTCAATCTGAGTCATTATTGATCACACCACTTACACATCCAAGTTTACAGAACCTGGTATTCCTATATTGTTGATCATCTAAGTATTGACCAGGCTCAACATTGCTTAACATCAGTGATTGAACAAAAACCTGTGTTTCAACATGACATGGCCATAATCAATTTTCATTGTGGCTTGACTACCGTTTATCTTGTATGCATAGGAAAATCAATAACCAATACCAAACCTAATAAACTTTGGAGCTGTCCAATTCTCACTTTCCACTCTCGATAGAGTACAAAAGCATCTCTGAGTCCTTGTGGGTGATAAATTATTTTCTACCCTCCAACCTCTCTCTTATAGGTGAGATGTGGAAAGCCTCTCACTGCTCTGTCGCTACTTCCATGGAAAGTGCTGGGACAAACTATATTTCCTGGTCCCACGAAGGTTTAGTAAGCCTCATTTTAATTTCAAACATTTTCTAGAATTTCATTGGTTGTTAAATAAAAATAAGCTTCGAGAAATTTCCATAACAAAACAGTCAAAATTTGTACAAAAATAGGCTCAACCGACGTAAAAAAAATCTTTCTCAAATTCATCCCTAATTTAAATGTTTCAAGAAATCCTACTGGCTAAAAAGTACAACATTCGCCCACACATTTCTCAGAAAAATTCGAAACAGTTACCAAGCCTAGTTGGAGCTGATTTCGTTGTTAAGAAAACTATAAATAGAAATAGTAAACGAATTTTCATTGCATTTGAGACTCACACACACGGAAGATACACACAGAATTATGTGCTGCCAAAGAAGCAAACTTCCTTTATGAGAGATTAGAAAAATTTATGCAACAAACTTTTTCACTCAATATCTTTCATAGAAAAATCTTTTGTCTAAGTTAAATTCAACCTTTTTGATCAAAGGCAGACAACGTTTTAGACATTGAACATTTCTGAAACAGAAAAGAACTTTTTCTCTAAAATATACCTTGCACACATCATTACAAACAAAGAAATTGTAAATTGTGTATATAAAATTTCAAATATGTATTTTTTGTCATGATTGAATATGGTTACCGTTTGTCCATTTTTTATAATTTATGTTTGTGGATATTGCATATCTTATTTGCAGCACAATTTTAAATATTCATGCAACCTTCTTAGATCCACTACAAAGGCAAACCTTTACAGCAAGAACATGCCATGTCACTTACATAGTAGCAAATCACTGACATTCCTTACATATTCCATTGGGGAGAAGTAAGATCCACTTGAGCAGCTTCTTCTTATGAACCACTTCCCTGTGGAACAGACTCCCAAGAAGCTCTTATCACTACAATCTTAACCTAGGGTTAACCTAAACCATTATCTTCCCTTCCTATGCGTATAAACTGCCTCTTAATGTATTGTAACGTAGCACTCTATTTTGAGTGGTCACTGGGCCTTGTACAGGCTGAACCTTAATGAAAACAGGTTAATGCTTTTTAACAGGTAAGTATAGCGATTGCTATGTTTTTCACACCCACATACACTCCAAGTCATTTTATTCACCTGCGATTGGCTAATAAATTACTACTATCTTTGTATAGGACAATTTAGCCATCACAGTCGTTCCTTTGAATCTTTTGGTTCTGAGCATACTTACCTATTTTGTTTAGTACGAGTGTAGTGATTGGTTAATTTTTAACCAATCACATATTTTTAATGTAAGATCAAGTTTTCCCGCCGTTCTGTGGGAGCCTACCTTTTTTCCTTAAAAGGGGTGACTTTTCACGAGTCGCCAGTAAGATTCCAGCCGTCAACACAAATCCACGATCTTACTCAACGCACACAGACAGAATTTCGTAACTACAAACTTACATTTTCTCTCTGTAACTTTTGCCAAGCACAATCAACCAGAACTTTGTTGATTCAAACCAGTTTATTCACAACACATTTCAAGCAATTGTATACTTCGTGTTATTCATTCTTCACATGCAAACTTTGCTCTAACAATTATTTCAGAACATTTATCTCACAAGAGAACTTTCGTCAAACAATTAATTACAATCAATCTACAGTTAAAGGGAAACAACTTCCTTCTCTTTAATCTACATTGTGAACACAAAATTATTTCAGGCTTGTTGTATATTATTCAATATATATTTGGTGGTTAACAAATTGGAGTTGTTGGTATTTACTTGAATCCTGTACGTGGAAGTAAACACTGAGCCGCCACATAAGTTTCGTTACGTTTTCTTCTTGTTCGACCATGTCTTGTTATCGTTATTTAGAAAAATAATCATTGTTTTAGTAAAAATAGCAACAAAAATGCTAAGCTATCGTCTGCTCACTAAACTCCCGAGTTTCCTAAATCGTCGTCACAACTTTGGTATTATTGCATTGAGTTCTCTGGTTACCTTTTTAAAAAAATCGTTTACTTTTTCAAGTACTTAGTAAGCTATTACGCTAATAAATGATTGGTGTTTTTGTTTCAAATGGTAACAATACTTGGCGAAACTTCGTAAACAAACAAACATTCTAACTACTAATTTAGTAAAGTATTTATCCGCACACCTATTCGAACAGAATATGGCACAAGATCCCGTATAAAGGGAGAAATCTCCTTGTACATGGGAAGGCAAAAAAAAAAAAAAAAAAAAAATTTATTTACTTATTGTGAAATAAAAGTTGTGAACGTATGATAACTTTTGGGAAAAAAAATAACCGAATACATAACTCTCTAAGGACCGGTGACTTTTCCCCGTCTCACCGAAGATGGTAGACGTTTGACGAATAAACGTGTTTGCTTGTTTAAAACTGAATTGCAGTCTTGTGCTGCCTATTTTTTTACTATTTTTTTTCTATATTCTACAAAGTTAGCATTTTGTAAGTATAAAAGATTCCGTTGATTTAAAAATATTGCTTAGTATATCTTTTGATTGTTTTTGTTTGGTAATTTCATTGTTTTTAGCGTCACTTCATAATCACGGTTGTTGTGACAGCACCGGGTCAATTCTTAAAAAGTATTTAGCAAATGTAAAATCTACTGCTATTAAAAATAAACGCATTATTTGAACTATATGTGGATTTCGATTTAATTTGACCATTGTCGTTAGTATACTTTTTTCTTTTTTTAGTTATGAAAACTCCGATGTAGGTACTTCCAAAGATTTTCTAAAAAAGAGCATAAACATAAAGGTCCCAAACTTAAAAACAAAGTTTTATCGTCAACATGTTTTTATTATTAAGAAAAAGAAAAGACCAACGTATTTTTTATCAATGTTTTTTAACCCTTTCTACCACGTCCGAAATCCTGGTTAAAAATCTTGTTTTTCTTGAATTTTCAAAACAATGTGTTTTAGTATAAAAAAACAAACAAACATTGTTTTGAAAATTCTTGCAAAAATCAAATAATTTTCGGATTTTAATGAAAGTTTCAGGACTTATTCACAGATGAAATAAACTATTTTTGAAATATTTTGTTTAGAAAATTTTGGTAAAAATATTTTTTTACATCTGTAATCCCCACTTACTTATTTTATGAAATTTCACTGAAGCAGACATTAAACATATAAGAGTGTTATCACTGCCTCTATATATTCTTTCTTTCTTCCTTCTCTAATTTTGGTTAGATATTTTTAGTAGTTTGTTTACTTTTTGAAGGCATTTGTGCATTTGGATTTCAGTGTCATGTTTTCCTTCCTCTGTGAAAACATTTCCTAAATATTTAATTTTGATTTTGCCATTTCCAGTTCATAGATCGCATATACAAGTACAGATGTGAAGAGATGGGCACTGATCTTTGAAGCATTCAATACCGCATCACAAATAAATCTACGAATAGAAAACCGTGATTCTGCCTTCCCTTCCGATATCGACGCACTGAAGATGAAGATGGCTATGTTGATGACATAGGTAGTCATAGTTGGGATAAGAATAATCTTGAACAAAAACAAAAAAAAAATTAACATCCCCTACCAAGTATTCCAAGAAATAAAGCCTAAGATAAACCTTTTCAAAACAGAAACTATCATATGGAATTGTGTAACAATATTTAACATGGCATACGAACGAAAAGGGTAAAAAAAAACGATTTTTTTTTTTTTGTCAGAAAGGGATTTATTTTCCCAGGGAATTGAGAATAGATGTACAAATTTTGTTGAAAAAAAAACAAAACAGAATGCTATTGTTGCTGCCTGGCGAGAGACAGCGGACAGGTGCAGGAGTCAGGGGCCAGAGGTTAAAGTCGTCTGTTGAAAGGTGTACGATCTCTACGTGCTGAGGAAATTGTCAGCCAAAATTTCCCTGAGAAAATATTATAATTGTGAAAACAGAATGAGCAATTATGAAGGCAGAAGATGACGTCAGGAAGGCTGGTGTCATATAATGGCTCCTCCCAAAAGAGGAGAGGATCTTCCAAAATTGGAAGTGTGAAACAGAAAACAAGTGAAGGAGACTGGTTGAATTTTAGGAGATTTGCATAAAACCCCCCTATGCGCCTACACCACACCAGTTGGAAGGGACACCCATAAATACAAGTACCCACAGGGGCTAAGGTAGTTAGGGTTTGAGTTGCAGTCCAGAATTGCAGTAGCCACATCAGGGGAGTTAAGAGTTTTTTTTGCCATAACGCTGTTTTGCCAACCTAATGATAATAATAATAATAATAATAATTATCTGCTGAAGAAGAAAAACTCTGACAATATTCTTGTGTCGTTCTTGAAAGTACAATCAACAGTACTTGAAGAAATCCAGTTGTCAAGTCTGGCCACCCTTAGAGAATTTAGACAAAATTTTTGTTTTGTCGCCAAATATTACAAACGGGTTGGGAAAAGAAGAAAATGAAAAAACTGTAAATATTTTTTTTTATTTTGATATAAATATCATCTAGTGACTTATTCAGGCGTTGTCTATTTTATTTTCAATTTTGTGTGTGAGTATTCAACTTCTTGGTTTATCTTGGTTGAGATACCCCAGTGATAATTCAAGCTTGACCCTCTTAAGATCAAAAATCACGTGAGTAAGAGAGATCCTAGTTGAAGAGGTCAACTTAAAGACCACTGCTGTGTCAAACGCCACTGACAATTGACAGTGGGCTGACAGCTTGTTCTTCGATACCAGGATCGATCCTGACCAAAGACAGCAGGCTGCGGCCCCAGCTATGCCGCCATAATTGAAAGGAAAGCAATAATGTTACCTAGGCTGAATTCATCATAACAATTCAGGAATTAGTAAATACTAAACACTTCAAATACCTTGGTGTATGGATTTTGAAGTTTTATTATTCAAAATAGTGTTGGGACGTCAAAAATTCAAAGAAATAAATAAAGTACATTTTTAAATTCCTTCTGCAACTACAATTTCATCAAGTCTAAAAATAGACATGTAGCAAGCACACCACATAACTTTCTGATGTGAAGATATATATTGAGGTATGTCTTGTTAAAGACTACGGAACTTTTCTGTTTAATAATCTTTTTTTCTAATTTTTCTTGCTTTCTCACAAGTTTTTTTTACATTTAGATTTTAAGTTGTTGAAAAAAAGACCCTAGTCCTTGTTTTTTTGCCAAGCACTTATGATTGTTGTCAACTGTCATCATGGCTGTATGTTTTGGTTTAAAGTGGGTTGTTTATTATTTCATTTTTATAGATAATATTTTGGGTAGTGTTATTGGATTAATTCATTAATAGTTGGGAGAGGGTGATATTTATTCAAATTTGCTTGACAATGTCTAATTCTTCATTTTGGTCATGTGAAGGATCATTTGCTCTTCCTTTCTCTCATTTGCTGTTGGCTGAACCATCACCTTCCCTTTCCCCTAAAGGGTATTAGCAGCAAATGCCTTCATTCGACTATCAAAACAAGATGACCAAGAATCAGTATCAACTCATGTAACAATGGAATAATCCATTATTTATGAGATATTGGCAGGCCATAACTATACATACTAACTAAAGTACTATTAGAATTATAATATAATGTTATTTCTCATCTGATGCCATTTTATCATTTCAGATTTTTTACATGGACAGATTTACAGAAATGGATTCGATGATGGGAAAATTGAATTTGTGTGAAAAATCTGCTATTTCTTTGACACCTGTTGAAAAAGAATATATTCTTCACCTTGATATCCAACAAAGGTAAATATATAAATTTACCAAAATTTATCTTTTGTAGTTATAAGTCTACCATTCATCCATGCATTGAATATTGCTGTCACATCTAGTCTGGTGCTACTACTATGTATTTAGAGATTCTTGATAAAATTCAAAGAAGAATCTGCAATGTTATGGGTCCTGACTTACTGTCTCAGCTTCAGCCACTTTCCCACAGCCATAACTTTATTTCTCTGTGACTTTTCTATAAATATTTTCTTAGCAATTATTCTGATGAACATTCCTCTTTAGTACCTCGAGTTTACAGATTTAAGCGCTGTGCTAGATTGGCAGCTAGGTCTCATCATTTTGAAGTTGAATTATTAGATATAACGGTAACTTTTATGCTAACAGTTTCTTCTCTCATACTTGTGGAATTCTTCCAGTCTCTTATTTTCCAGTCAACTTTGATCTTCAAAAATTTAAATATAATATCAATTGTTACCTTCTGTCTACTTAATTTCTGTTCTTTTATTGTTCTTTCTTGTTAATAATGTTTTTCTCAAACTCTTTCATTCTCAATAACCCTTTGCATTTTAGTGGCTTTAGTGGCCTGCTTGGGGTGAAATAATTAAAAAAAAATTTTTTTTCTTTATATTTACCTATAATTAGAACTTCATACATATTTATTACTCAAATAAATTTTAAATGAGATGGAAAAACTGAAGCTGTTTCCAAAATTCTCTTTCCAGAATTAATCGTTATTTTCCATCTTAATTCCTGTTCTTTTATTGTTCACTCTCTTTAATAATGTTTTTCATTTTCTCATATACTTTCGTAATCAGTAACTTCTTATGTCTTAGTAGCTACACTGACTTGCTTGGGGTGAAGTGATTAAAAAAAAAATCAATATGATAGCTTTCTTAGGTTTATTAAGCAAATACATAAAATTTTCATTCACTCTAATAGTTTCATCAATTATGTAGAGGTGTGGTCCTATCTTGTGATAGGAAGAGTTTGAAAACTTTCAAAATAAACAAATTTGACAAGTGTGTGGGTTTTCATATATATATATATATATATATATATATATATATATATATGAAGAACAACATGGTTCATAAAGAGAAAGAGAAAATTATATTTGTGTATATACAGATAATGGCAGTGGGGGGGGGGAGAAAGAAAGAAAGAAAGGCAGGCTGGCAAAGCATTTATGGGATTAGCTGAAGTCTGTGCCATGTGGGGTTTTTTTTACATTAATGCAGGTGTCCCCCAGAGCACTATCCTGTTTCTAATTTTCATCAATGACCTTCCTGATGTCATCAGTTCTCAACTCAGTATTTATACTGATGGCACAAATATTTGTTCTTGTCTTAATAATAAGTCTGATTGGTTCAGATTGATATATCTTCATTGCATTGAATGAAGAAAAAAATCAAAAAGTGGTATGTCACTTGGAGTTAGCATAGTCTTGCTGAAATAGGTAGTAAACAGATAAGCTAGATCTCTAACTCTCTACTTGTTTACTCCTTCTACTGAATTCTCAATGTCTGTATTTATGTATTTGGATGAGTCTAAGTCCTCATCTGGGGAGGTGTATTCATCTCCACGACAATTCAATAAGGTCAAGTTGGCAGCCAATCTCACAAATGACCTAAAACCTGTTGCGAATTGGGGCAAGGAATGGCTTGTTAATTTTAATGCTTCCAAAGCATAACTGCACTCTTTTAATGATCTGAGAGATCCTTTTGTGCCTCCCATCAGCATAGCTGATATTAACCTGTAGGAGAGTGACTCATTGCACCTTTTTGGGCTTGGGTTTTTCCTACTGACATGAAATAGAAAGATTATAGGTCTGCTGCTAGAAAAGTTGGTTCACTGAGTTGTGCTAGACAATTTTTCTTGCCAGAATCCACCTTACACATTTATAAGTCTACCATGTATTGAATATTGTTGTCGTATCTGGTCTTGTGCTTCTACTTTGTATTTAGAAATTCTTGATAAAATACAAAGAAGAATCTACAATGTTATTGGTCCTGACCTGGCATCTTGGCTTCAGTCATTTTCACTGTAATGTAGCTTCTCTGTGCCTTTTTTATAAATACATTCATGGTAATTGTTCTGATGAACTTTCCTCTATGGTACCTTTTACTTTATGAATTTAAACACATTACTAGGTTTACAGCAAGATCTCACCATTTTACAGTTGAAATGGCTAAATGTAACCATAAGTTCTATGTTAACAGTTTCTTTTCTTGTATTTCTCACTTGTGGCTTCTTGCTCTCTAGTCAACTTTGATCTTTAAAAATTTAAATATAATGTCAATCTTTATTTTCTGTCTTCTTAATTCATGTTCTTTTATTGTTCTCTCTCCTTAATGATTTTTATTTTTTTCTCATATTCTCTCACCCTCTGTAACTCTTTGCAGTTTAGTGGCTTTGTTGCCTTGCTTGGGGTGAAATGTTAAAAAAGAAATGGTACAAATATACAAGTTACATTTATTGTCTTGAGTGAGATTTCGATCTAATAGACATGATCTTCCTACTGATGCACTTGGCTTCTTTGATGCTCTGATGTGATAAAGAGTGTAAAGTCTAGTTTAGTCTCATCTGGGGTGAGTCCAGTTCATATTGGGATCATCACAGATTAAGTTCTCATAGAATAAAGGTTCCTTATTGACATTAAATTCAATTCTGACTGTCTGAATTTTCTTGGCATGAATTGCATGCTACAAATACATAAAACAATTGATAAAATTGAATGGTTATGAGCCGAATTACAGATTATTTATTATTTTCCCACAGTTCCCAGGCAACAGGAAGTGATAATCCATTACTTGCTAGCAGCAGCAGCAACTACAGTATTCGTCTTTTTTCAATGTCCAACATGGCTACCTTGAAGCAAATTAATGGTGAGTTTTTCTACCCATAATTTATTTTTCTTATGATCTTTTAGTTATATTTAATTAATCTAACTTGGAAGTACAAAGTTATCTTTAGTCGCTCTTGAAAGATATATTTTAGGTTTTATCCAGTCATCAAAAGATGGTGTTAGTGTATTCCTCCATGGTATATACCAAGCTTAATTTAGATAGGTAAAAGGTCAAAATGTATGTAACACATCAAGTTAAAATTCATATTACAATAGTACATTATACTCTTTTATGTATGCCTAACCTATACTAACATCAAATGCATTTTTGCAAAAAGACATTAATAATTGAATCAAGGCTGCCCATGCGGCATATGGGAAACTATTCAAAAGAGTCTTTGGCAATCCTGGACTAACACAAACAACTAAGCTCATAATCTACCAAGTTGTAATCTTGACTCTCTTGTATGCCTGTAAGAGCTGGATAATCTACTGAAAAGACATTTGCAAACTTGAAAGATTCCATCAAATGAAACTTTGTCAAATCCTGCAGAACATGTGGCAGGACTGGATCACTAACAATTAAGTTCTCCTCCATGCAAAGATGGAGAGTCAAGAAATTATCATAACTGGCCACCGACGTCGATGGACTGAACACCAGTCATCTGCCTATTCAAACACTTCTTCTTGACTATGCCCAAACTACACCTGTCCTCTTCTTAACCTAATCCATACTACACATATCCTTTTCTTGACCAAATCCATACTACACATGTCCTGTTCTTGACCAAATCAGTATTATGTATGTCCTCATCTCTAGTAAACCTGTACTTTGTATTTTCTTATAATTGCAGCTCATGACAATGTCATTTCTGGAATCAAATTTTCACAAACAGAAAACCATTTACTCTTCTCTTCATCGTGGGACAAGTCTATACGGTAATTCATCAAGTTTTATTTTTTCATATAATTTTCATATGTTGTCTTAACTTTCTCCTTTGTTGCTACATTCATGTAGTACCTAATGAAAATTAAAATCAAAATAACCATATATTTTTTATCTGTCTCTATTTCTGAGATTGTAATTATTTACACTATTTACATTGTTTGGACTGTTACTCTCATTTTTGTTGCCATATTCATGATGTTTCGGCCATTGTATGCTCCAGCTTTCTTCATGTGATTGGAATTTTTAACTGAACCCTTTATATCGTCCACCAGGGTAGATTGTTCTAGTTCTTCTGGGTTTCTCAGTTATCTCCCTTTAACTCAACTAAGTTTTTGTTCACCACTGAAGTAGTCAGGTATTGAACTCAAAACTCTTTGAGGACATCAGTGTATGAATTTTTAGGACTTATAAAATTAATGTCTCAGTAACATTTTTTTACCAGATATCATATTGCAATTTTGTTGTTATTGCTTTTCTCTTGCACTCCCTATTACTGGTTCTCATATTCATTTCTATACTTGTCCAGCTTAGGAGATTTTTGTGGCCTAGCATATGTGCTGATTCATTAAGTTTTTGTATTCTGTCTATTATTTCAACCTCATCTCACAGGGGGTGGTGATCACCCTTTTCCTTCCATATGTGGTCAGCTACACCTGATTTTTCTATTTCCCCTCATGTTATGGCTTTACAATGTTCTTGTAGTCTTACCTTAAGGAGTCAGCCTGTTTCTCCTCTATATTTCTTACTGCAGCTGCATGGGATGATGTACACACAGTCCTTAGTCATGTTCTCCTCTATTGGTTGTCTTACTCAGAAGAGGTGGCTGCAAAGTTTTGAACCACTTTTGAAGGTTGTCCTGATGTTATATGGAACACAGATTTCATATTTTTTCCGATAATCCTTTCACATAAGGTAGGTAGACTGAAGCTGTTTTATGAGTGTTGTTATCCTCTTGTTATAGACAAGCGTATGGTTGCAAGAAAGAAATACGACAACAGCAGAAATAGATTTACGTGGTTTATTTCAACAGGAACGTGTGGGTTTGGGACAGCTACCTTGTGGTAAAGTTCATAAGCCGGCTTCGGATCTAGGTCAATCTCTCATAGTAGTTCACATATGTTGACGGTGGTTGATGCTCCCCTGCTGTCAGCAGCTGAACGTGACAGGTCTCTATCCTGGGCACCTGTGGACTAACTGTTAAACTTCCGTGTGACCCCTTTTATAGCGTTTTTTTATGGCTTAACAGGCTCGAAAAATGAAGTGAGTATAATTAGGAGGGAAGCATTTTTATTGGACGAAAAATAGAGCACTTTAAATATTATTTTATTTTTTGACCGGAACACATGTGTCAGGAACATTTGTAAAGAAAGATAATGGTCATTTTGTGACGGGGCTTTGTCCTGTTTACATCCGGTTCTCGCTCTTGAGTATTTGCCTGTAAATCAGCCGAGATATGTCTTATTTTATTTTATAACACTCTTGTACCCTTCTATCCCAGTTTGTTGGAGCTGCTGTCATGTACCCAGGATCGTTGAACATTGTAAGGTACTGCTTATACTGATCCATTCTTGTTCATATGTCTCTGGGTTGCCACTTCTGACTTTTGCTTGATGTTGTAAACAGCAGAAAATTCCTTTCTGTACACTGTATAGGTGGTGGGAGTTGAAATTGAGTTATTGTCCAGTAAATGTTGGTTTGCAGTATACAGATGTCTTGAACCCATGCTCTGTTCGAGATATTAGTACATCCAGGAATATGAGTTTGTTGTTGTTTTCTCTCTTCATTGTGAACTGTATTGATGATTTTATTGAGTTCATATGGTCTAGTAGTAGCTGGACCTCTTCTTGGTGTGGCCATAGTATGAAGTTGTTATTTACGTATCTCAGACATAGAATTAGCTTTAGTGATGTGGATTCTAAAGCCATTTCTTTGAAGTATTCCATGTTTGCCATTGCTGGTGATAACGGTGAGTCCATTGCTAAGCCTTCATCCTGTCAATATATGTCTGGTCCCATTCCGAAATATGTTGTTTGTGTGAATAAAGTCAGAATCTCCATCAGGTTATCTATTAGTATACTGGTCTGTTCTCCTAGGGATGAGTCTGAAGACAATATGTCGCTGACTACCAATAGTGCCTTCTTCATGGGTACCATGATGAACAAACTTACCACGTCTACAAGGAAGTGACTCAGAGAGTGGTACACAGCATCTAATAACAATTGGCCTGAGTGGAATACTGTCTTTGTGAATTTTGGGGAGATCATATATGTGAGGTAGCTTGGTGTAATGCTGTGACAATTGCCAGTATGTCTTAGGTAGGAAGTGATCTTTGTTCTTGTTCAGGATCTGTGACAGTTTTCATTCTGTTTTCATTATTGGATCTTTCTTTACTGTAGCTACCATTTCTAATGAGGTCTTTTAGTTTTTCTGTATATTCCAATTTGTCAATCACTACAGTCACATTGCTTTTGTCAGTTGGTAGTATGTTAATGTTTTCTTATCTCTGTAAGGTTCTGATTGACAGTCTCTCCAATTTTGTAATGCTTGATTTGGGCAGCTTGGCTTTTGTTGTTTCTCCAGTATCTGTCTCACTTTTCATGTTAGCTCATCTGCCTGACCCTGAGGGATGTTTAAGGCTATTTCCTCAATTCAAATGATGTCCAAGTAAGGTATCCGCCTGATCATTGTGACGAAGTTGAGACCCTTGTTCAATACTAACTCCTCAGAGGCACTCAGATGGTGTTGACTGATGTTGATTACTGACTTCACTGAGGAGAGGGATGATGGACCTTGTGTAACACCTTCTGATATTAATTTTTTTTTACTTGGCGGGTCTTGACTGCATTGAATCCATGTCTGAAGAATTTATCCAGGTCATGCTGGGTCCTCTTTTGGTCCTGCATATATTTTTTGTTCATTTGTTTATTGGCTTCTGTCAAAGTTGACTATGGGGTTTAGGGTAACAACTTTTTGATGCAACTCACTGGACAGTTAAGATAGTTACAGAAATTTGCCAGAGTGCTTACTCACTTATTTTCTTCTTTATCATTCATTGTGGCATAACAGTGACAAGACACTGTCAAGATATCTAGCAATGGGTGACTGCTGAGAGAAGTGGGTACATGTTTTTCCCAAGGAAAGGAATATAATTAATGTCAGCTGAAATTTGGACTTGGTTTCCTGATTTTGTTTTCCAAGTTTTGAAATTCTCACAATAAGTTCTTTAAAATTCATGCTTTTCCCAATGAAGTGAACATACTATATCCTAAATTAAACCTTTTATTAAAAAAGATAATTTCTGAACCGTTTTTGGCAGGATTTGAACATGTCAGGCTTTAGATAGAAACACTCACCTAGCGAGCAGAGAATTAAAGTTAGTTAATGTCCTGTGCACATTTAGCAGAATATCCAAGGGAATTAGTGCTCTTGTCACAGTTAGAAAAGTAATTCTGACCTGAGAAGGGGTTGGAACGAGACATGCTTCAACCAATGTCCAGACTTACACCAATGCGGAACAAAAGATATTCCTAGATTGTAACACACAACCTCACCATAGCTTAAAGGTAGTAATTTGTTAGAGTACAACCATCACCTAAGTACAATATTTATGTCAAGTTTTATTGTTGTTTCTCATTGTTACAGTTAATAAAAATGGTAAACATATCTTGGCACCCCTTTTTTCATTTCCTTTAGTACTTCATATTTATATGTTTGGGAGCTCCTCAAGGTATGGAGCCATTGTAAAATAACCAAACCAACAAACCTATAACTAGTTGTGACATCCTACCAGTTCATGTGAACTGATCCTTAAAATTATAAAAGCTTAGCAAACCAGTTGTTGGATTATCCAAAAATAATCTTATATATTAATAGCCAATGGTCTAGGTAAAATATTAGTTATTCTATACTTGCGCGCATGCTTAATGAAACTCTAATTGACACATGCCCCCTACCGCAACAATTAACAGCAGTCAGTGAGTAAAAAAAAGTAAAAGAAAGACATAGATAATGGTAGCTGTGTAGAAAAACTAGGCAAAAAAGAGAGATCTTTGGGACTGCAGTGATTGTGTTTGAATTTGGCTAAGAAACCATAACACAGCTGATGACATTAGGGTTAAAAAGCATCAAACTTCTGAACAGAAATATTATGAGAACAAAATTTCAATCTGGAAATATCTTAATAAATAAATGTTTTTTTTTATTAAATTATCAAAATGGTTTAATTCTTTTTGATACTTTAAAGTGATTTGTTTCCATTCTCAGATTGAAAAGAAAATAAGCAGAATATGTTCCTAAAGATTACTTGCCTTTATAGAACCAGTTCCTGGAAATTTGGGATGTCATTATGGCATATAACCATCTGTATAGGACACACAGATACTTTGCAATGGGCTACAATGTCTTATAATCTGAATATAAAGTAATGTTTTGAATATAACAATGTCCTGCCTACAATTTCAGAGATTAATATTGGAAGATAAAATGAAATTGTAACCAATGAACAAAATAAAAATCAGGAATAATACTTTTTAAATGATTTTAGATTAAGCATTTCCACAATTATTATTAAGAATAAAATATTTTTGACAGGTGAAATGGTAAAAATGAAAATCTTGCCAGTGCAAAGACATCTTTAGTCTCTGTTGAAAGACATATCTTAGGTCTTATCCAGTCAGATGACTCATCAAAATATCCATAAAGATAGCTGTCTGTTGGGATCTGTTTCTCATGCATTTGTTTTTGTCTGAGTGTTGGGATTCCAAACATTTAACAACAATACATCTTTTAAATGAAACATAAAGAAATGTCATTCTCTGAAGGAAAAGTAGAAGCAGAACATCAATTGAAATAATATTTATACATTCTTCTCAGAAATACACAATAACAATAAAATGTTTGATTTTTCTTGCAGTGAAGTTTGTTTTATTAAGCAATTAAGAGTTCTTAGTGTGCTGTGAGATGTGTGGACAGACTTATTTCATGATGGTTAGCCTAATGTGTTTGTGAGTTTGTAAAAAAGGCCTTAGTTGGCATCTGCTAGGTATCATCTTCTATTCACATATAGATCAAACTGTCCTCTGAAATTGTTTTGAACCCAGCAAAGCAGTATGCTTCTGTTTTTATATATGTAAGGGGGATCCAAAATCTAATTTCACATAGAGATGAGAACTTTTGTGACTTGGTTAGAAAATAATTTCACACTGGCTTGTGGAAATCTTTTTCTTGAATTTGCAGGAGTGGTGAAGCAAGTTATTGTTACTTTCTAAATGGTCCAAAAATAACACATGGTAGGTCTACAACTACGTCTGCAAGTATTTTGGCAGTATTTGTGTTAGTAATTGTTGTTTATCAAGTACATCTTCTGATGGTATTTTATTGGTTGAAAAATATACATAATATTTAATTCCTATAGTCTATGTATTCCTTCATGGTACATACCAAGCTTAGCTTAGATAGGTATATATATATATACATATATATATATACAAAGTATGGTGAAGCAGTAAAAATTAATTTAAATGAGATCTTTGAAATTTATGGTGCAGTCAAGCTCTGTGAAACCATTCTACATATGACATAATTTATACAATATCCACAGTTTTTAAAATGGACTCTTCTATCATTTTCAGCATATAAAGATCTAACAGCATGTTTTGTCTTTGAGGCCTTATTTCTATTTATACCTTTGATGACTAGTATGGCGAGTTTGAGACCATCACAGTATTCCATATCCAGGGCAAGGAATAGCACCTCTTGTGAAGACTGGAATAATGTTAGAGTGGTGTTTAGTAATACGGAGAAGTTCACTTGCATGACCTCTCAAAAGTTGTTATGCTTTTTATGCACACACTCCTCCACTTGACATGGTCAGAAGTAACATCTTCAAAACAGGACAAAAGGAGGCTGATAGAATTGAAATTTTATCTTTATGCCAAAACAGGAATCTTCTCACCTTCCATCATGCAGTTGGCTGTACATGTGGATTTTCAATGTCCTTTCATCACTCATGTACACATGACCAGTCCATCAATATATATATATATATATATATAATTTTTACATACGGACAAAAACAACTTGCTCACTGCAAAGATGCATTCTTGTTTCGATGCATCTGCATCTCGACTGGTGAGGACCCTCTTTCCTTTCCTTCTCTTTTCTCCCCTTTTCTTTACCCCCTCCGTTTCCTCTTAAGGTGTTTCTCCCTACGGCTTTATTTTTCATAAGTGGCTTGCTTGTAAATAGAATTGTTCATAAGCATTTTTGGTTCTCACCAGTTAAGATGCAGCTGCATCGAAACAAGAATGCAGTTTTGTAGTGACCAAGTTGTTTTTGTCCATATGTAAAAATTATAATAAATAATTATTGCTCTATTTTTGAGCCCTCGTTTGAATTAATGCTGTGAACACTAAAATTTATATTATCTTCATTCTCATTACATCTGTGTGTGTGTACACAGACAAACACACACACACATATATATAATGACATGTCCATTCAGGCTTATGGTTCTCAACAGTTTCTTTTTCTTTATTATCTGTGAATTGTTATGACTTTATCATTACTTTCCTTCTGATATGGAATTCAAAATTCTTCTTTACCTAGACTAGTTGCCACCCAAGTCTATAGAACCTAATTTACTGTGCTATTTAACCTATAGGTGGGGGGAGAAGAAGAAGAAATAGATTCATGTCTTTCTGAACAGCATAGCAAAGTGAACACAAACTGTTTTATATACCAGCTTCAAGTGATGTCAAAATAAAAATGTGACAGTGATTTTGTTTCTTTTTTTTTTGTTCTTCTAAAGACAGGAATGTGCTGTATCATGATAAATGTATTCATTAGAATTAATTAAAAATGTTGAGATATTTAATTAGTCCTACTATAACAAGTTAATCTGAATATATAATTTTTTTTTTTAATGAAAACATTTGGATTATTGTATATTATTTTGAATCTTAAACTGTTTTTTTATTTTTACAGTTGTTGGGACACACGGACAGACACAAAGAAACCAGTTCAGGAGTTTTCAGGTTATCTTTTGATTGATTTGTTTTACAATTAGAAATATTACTTGGTGTTGCATAATTTTGATAGTTTCATTATAAATCCTTGATAAATCCCATTTTAGAATTTTTGAAAATGTCTTTACACTCTTTGATAAACTACATTTCAGAATTTTTGAAAATGTTTTCCCTAATCATATTTTAGAATTTTTGATAGAGCATGTTGAGTAGCACGGGCAGTATGTGGGCAGGCATTATCCTGTTTCTGTTTCAGAAATGGCTGCAGAATGAGTTGAACAATGATCTAGATGTACACAGCACTGCTCAGTGATCTCTACAAACACCAAAAATTGTATGAGTTGTAACTTATAGTGTACCAGGGTTTGAGCTTGTGGGTCATGCCTAGATATACTCAGAAAGATATTACTATTGAAGTCTGTCTCATGTGCATACAAACAAGTATCACTTGCATGAAGGCAGCACCTGTTTTCATTACCGAACATTACAGAGAACCATAAGATCTTCCAGATGACACTTGCTTGAAACCAATAGAAACGCAGTTTGTTGTTATTGCTGAACTGCAAGTCTGGCTAGAAGCACGCTGTAAAAATTAATATTTAGCTCAACTCTGTACTGAGTTCTCTTTTAAATTAAATGTTATGGACAGTAGAATTATACTTCATTTGTTCTCATCTTACCTGTGTATATATATATATATATATATATATATATATATATATATATATATATATATATATATATGATGAACAAATTGGGCCAGCTATTGGGAATATTAACTTAAGTAAAAATGAACATAATACATCCTCAAATAACTCTAAACATATGAAACTAGTATGTCATAATCAAATGCATTCTAACTATGAGCAGGAGGAAAAAAATCTAAAAATACTCATAGACACTAATATATCTCCCACTGATCCAAGTAAAAACATAAAATTAATTATATACTATACCAAATTTAATACAACCAACTTAGTCATCCATTTCAACTTTTCTCCATCAAGCTAGCATCTTACAAAAGACCAACATTGTATATCAATTTAAATATCCTTTGGGAGATTGCATCTCTGATAAAAATGCTAATATGTATGTTGGTTTTACAACAACGACGATGATGAGAAGGCTTACATTTCACTTGAATGATCATAGTTAAATCTCAGAACATTTAAAGGAATGCTAACGTTCACATTCACAGTTTAGACAGATATTAGTGAAAAATACATCGGTGATCCATCAAGATAATAATTAGCAGAAACTTAAAATTCTAGAAGCTGTTTATATAAATGAATTGTCGCCAAAAATGAATAAAGTCAACTACAAGTAGAGCAACAAATTTCTTAAAGTTTTGTAGCAGCAGAAAGTGTTATATAAAAAATACTAAAAAACTACAATGAAAAATCTTTTTAAAAAAAATTTTCTTTTTAAATAATTAAAAAAAAACACAGACGTCACTTCCCTTGCATAGAGGTAAGAAAATATTTTGAATTTATGGTGTTAATGCATAACACATCCATAGAGATGCAACAGATGAAAATGGTCTCAGATAAGATTGAAAGTACTTGCAAAAATAAAAATTATTTGAAAGTAAATTTTGGAATTTTTCTTAATCAATTTTCTATGGCCACCAAGAATTTAATTTGCAAGTTTGAAATGATTAAAACTAAAATAAATAGACATAATATGTGTAAATTATTTAACCAAACATGTTTGAATAAAAATATGCTGCTTAAATATATATATATATATACATATATATATATATATATATATATATATATATATATATATATATGTTTCTGTGTGTGTATGTGTGTGTATATATATATAGGCACGGTGGAGTAATGGATAGCGGCTTGGATTGAGGAATTGCAGAGCCGAGTTTGAATTCCAGTCGAATCCATTACATTCACTTACGTGCTGATACCCTTGAGAAAGGTGTGAATCCTCTTCTTCTCCCTCCAGCTATGGGTAAATAGCAGGACAGACTGGGTTCTATAGCCTTGGATGGCAACTGGTCTAGGAGAAGGACAATTCTGAATTCAAAACCTGTGGAGGGTCGTTTGGGGGCCTTGTGGCACTTAGTGCACCAGGTCTCTGAATTCGGCCCTTCAAAAAGTGTGGCTGGTCCTGCACAAAACCTTCACCACTATAATCAAATCTCATGTGCCGTTGTCGGGCTGTCGGTTTCCTAGGAACTGATCTGCTTGACCCTCATACGTTGAACTCGACGGGAAAGTCGACTATATATATGTATATATAATTTTTGCTGTTACTCATTACACCACATGTACATCCAAGCCTACACCCTCTGGTATTCACAAGCTGGTACTAACCATGTTCGACATTGCTTAACTGTGGTGATCATATGATAACCTATACGAGAGAGAGAAAGAGAGAGTATAGCTAGATATATGTACAATGAATTTTAGTAAAACATAGTAGATAAAATTGTATCAGAAATATATCTGATTAGTTATTGGGAATTCTTGTATATTTTTTAAATGATTGTGGTATGATTTCTGCCTATCCAGTTGTTTCATCAAAACAACTCTATAAGTAGAAAATGAAAGCAAGCATTGTCGAAGTATTTGTTTCTCTTTTTTCATTGATTTTGTTTACTCATTATTATCAACAAATAACAATCTTAATTGTTTCTGTGCAGGCTCTGATAAAAATCTCTTGTGTCTTGATATTAATTCTTCGGATTCAAAGTTGGCAGCTGGCACAGAAGCTTCAGATATTAATGAAGTTGATTTATTCATTTGGTAAATATCAATTACACTCCCTTTTTTTTTAGTCAATAATTGTTAACAATACTCCAGCAAAAAAAATTAAAAATAATAATACTAACTAGCAGTACCCATGACAATTTCATGTTTTTCCTACTTGAATTTTATGATGAATCATAATTCTTAATATAATTAATTGAATAAGCTCCTTACAAGTTTCATGACGACAAAATATCTGCAGAAATTCCCCTATTGCATCATTAAATATTTGAGCTTAACTTCAATATTACCATTTTAATATTGCAATTATAATCATAAGTTATAAGTTATGCAGGTTGCTACCTAAAGAAGTAAAAGTGTACAAATGAAAAGATTACAAATTGACAATGTTTTCTATTCTGCTGAAACAGACATTAAATGCATGAAAATGTTATCACCTCTGTCTTGTCTTGTCTTTCTTTATTATTATTACTGTTATTATGCATGCTATCTTTTTCTCACTAAAACCTAATATGTAATGCTTGTTCTTTAATTACAACAGATTTAATCATAGAAGCACACAGAGCATATCCAAATGAATACAAAAATCTCAGGATTCCAAATCTAGTCCGCTATGTAGTCTCTTTCCTTCTCAATTGTAGCTAGACTATCAGTAGGTAATGTTTGTTCTTAAATTCATGCAGTCAAGGAGGAAATCTCATAAGAGCATCAGCTTATTAGATTTTATCATTGCTTACTGCTACAGCTGACTTGCAGGGCCTGTCATTAAAGTAAATTTCTCCTTTCTCTCTGCGATTGCCATTAACTCTATTGACCCATCTCCTTACTGTGCTTATATGAAGTTCAGCTTTTCCATAAATTTCACCAACCTTCACTCTGTGAATGTTTGCCACACTTTCTTCTTTCAAAAACAGAAATTCTATGGGAGCTTTTTTTAATCAAAAATACACCAAGCAAGGCAGTAAAGCCACTAAGAAACAAGGGGTTACTGGATGTGTAAGAATTAGTAAACAGAAACATTACTAACGAGTAAGAACAATAGGAGTGTAATCAGGAAGACAGTAGATAATGATTGGCATTGCATTTAAATTTTTGAAGATTGAAGTTAGCTGGATAGTGCTGGAAGGGAGTTCCACAAATAAGAAGAGTGAGTGAAGAGACTGTTAGCATAGAAATCACGCTTCCATCTAGCCAATTTAACTTTAAATTGATGAAACCTTGTTGCTTGTCTAGTACAATTCTTAAATGCATAGTTTAGGTACCATAATGAAGTTCTCATCCAAACTATTAGTATGAATGTATTTATAGAAAAAGCACAGGGAAGCTACTTTACAGTGGTAGGAAAGTGACTGAAGCTGAGATGCTTGGTAAGGACCAATAATATTGCAGATTCTACTTTGGATTTTATCGAGAATCTCTAAATATCTTGCAGGAGCACCAGACCATATGTGGCAGCAATATTTGAGGCATGGACAAATGATAGACTTATAGATATGTAATATAGATTCTGGAGAGAAAAATTTTCTAATATGAACCAACTTTCTTAGCAGCTGACCTAGCAATGGATTCAATATAGTTTTTCCACTTCGTGTTAGACTGAGAAGGTATAACAAGTCATTCTCCTTGAGGTTAGCATCAGCTATGCTGAGGGAAGGCAGAAAGAGGTCTCTCAGATGATTAATAGAGAAAAGTTTTGGTTTGGAGGTGTTGACGTTAATAAGATGTTCTTTATCCTAGTTAACAACAGACTGAATGTTGTTTTTGATATCAACTGTCAATTTGACCATATCAAACTGATTAGACTTACTATTGAGACAGGAGTAAATAGTTGTCTTATTGGCATAGATACCAAGCTGAGAACTAATGCCATTAGTAAAAATTAAAAACAAAGTAGGACCAAGGATAGAACATTGGGGGGTGTGGGTGTCACCTGCATTAGTACAAAAGGATCTAGAAGAGTGGCCATTCAGGGTAATTCATTTCACGATTTGATAAGAAAGTCTGAATCAGTTCAAAAATTTGCCTAGAGAAACTATGACTTTTCAACTTGTAAAGAGGGCCTGTATGCCAAACCCTGTCAAATGTTATTGAGATGTCCAAAGCAACAGCCCAAACCTCACCATTCTTATCCAAAGCTTGATAGACTCTCTCTGCAATGATAATTAATACATCAGCAGTTGACCTAGAGAAACAAGAGCTATACTACTTGTCTGAAAGAGGGCCCTGTGATGTGAGATACTTAACTTATTCAGTAGTAGTTTACCAAAAAGAAGACTGATAGGTCAATAGGGTCAGATGTTTCACCTGAGTTCTTAAAGACTGGAACAATGATGAGGATTTCCAACGAACAGTAAAGCAAGAGGCAGTGAGGCATTTATTATACAGTTTAGAGAAAACAGGAGATAGTTTGGGAGCACACTATTACAGGGATACCATCAGGTCCACATGCTTTGTGGGGGTCCAGATTAGAGATTATAGCAGAAACCATAGAAGGGTTTATATGCATATAATGCAACAGAGACTCAGTTAAGTGTAAGGATTCTCCAGATGAATCAAGAGTAGAGTTTAAAGAGAATTTATGCACAAAACATTAAGTTTTATCAGCAGATGTTAACACCTCAAATTGATTGAAGAGGAATAGAAAACTTACTCTTATTTAATACACTATTACAGTGACACCAGTAGTCACCAGAGCCAAATCTGTTAGATGCAATCTGGTGCCTAATTCTTGCAGTAAACAAAGACTTAGCTCCTTCAAGGACACATTTACATTTATTATGTAATACCATAAATTGGTGTCAGTTATGATCAGATATGTCACACTGGCATAGCTGGAAATAGTGATTCCTGTGGGCTATAGCAGTGGAACATGCTAGTGTGAACTATGGAGAACATTGAGGTTTCAACTGGTATTTTTGAGAAGGAATAAAAGCATCTATGCTGGCTTTGACCCAAGAAGAAATTTCACTGTTGCAATTCTCAATAGGAAGGTTAAAAATATCAATACAAGGGCCATCTTGAAGAAAGCCATGGAGTGATTCCCAGTCAGCATGCTGGTAACAAAAAGAAGACTTATGAATAGAAGATTCCTGTCTAACAGATGATTAGAATGAAATGTCATTAGATACTATAGAGTGATCCAAGTTGCCAAGAGGACAATGTTGCAAAGCCCGGCAAGAGCTAAGAGAAGAGGTAAGGAATAAATCAAGTAAAAAAGCATGTTGCTCAGATTTATTGGGAAAACAACTAGGGAAATCCAGAATTTGAGTATGAGACTGAGCAATGGAAAAATTGAAAGTCTGAATACCAGCAACATTAATAACATTAGAATGTTTAAGTCACTTGTGATGCACATTAAAATCCCCGAACATAAAGATGCTTGCAGATAGATTAAAAAAAGAATGTTGTTTCTATACTGTCAGAAATGTTGTCTAATATATTACAGTCTTGAAAAGAGAGGAAGCAATAAAGTAAAAAATAGCTAACAAAGTGTAATTAATGAAAGTCGAAAGCACATTAAAGAATTGTCTGGGGACTTTAGTGACAATTCCCTTGCCATTGGAAGATTATCCTGGATGTAAACACCAAGGCCAGTCATATGAATGTTAGAATCTTTTCGGCAAAGAGGAAGATATCCTGGAACAGAGAATTCATTAGTAGCAATGGAAGAATTTAAATTGGTTTCAGAAAGGGCAAAGATATATGGCAATTGTTCCAAGAGAAAAGATTCTACACAGCAGAAGTTTGAATAGATACTATGAACATTAAAGAACAAGAGGTTGAGTGGAGTAGGTGATTTTTTGTTTACTGGTTTTCTCGTAATTCTTTTCATTGTATGTGTCAGAAGGAGATTTTGTTTTAAGGAGAAAAAGAAAAAGGACAACATAATGTTGACTGTCTGTTGTCAGTGACAATACAAACCAGACAGAACATGTCTGAGACCAGTGCATAATGTGGCCTCAGGGTTGCCCACCAGAAATGCATACAGGGACACATACCCATGTATGACATGGTACTACAAATGCCCTAATTTTATACAACTGTTGATTTGAGCAGCCTTTCTAAGCGCTACCAAAGAGTTGGGTCTCTTTACTACCAGTCAGATGCAGCAGTCAGCGAACTACCAACCAGATACTCTCATAATGGACAGTCACAGCCACTGATTAGTCAGATCACCAAAAAGTTAAGACAGTTATTTTTCTTTTTATATGTGTCACGGGGTGAAACCATTTTGAAAGAGGATTGTAGAAAGAAAAATGAAAAGTAATTCCACACATATTTCCTTTGGGTTTTTCAACAATTTATAGTTAAAAAAAAAATCTAGGAATGTTGATTAATACTTTGAAAATAAAATGAGAATAGGCATTACTTTTATTACTGACCCTTGCATATATTAAATGTTCAAATACATCTTAAATATTTTATTTATTTTCCTTTTAGGGATAGAAGAAAGTCTTCTGTTTTAGTAAAGTACACAGATTCTCATCAAGATGACATCACACAAGTAAGATTGATTGATTTGGTTTTTTATGGTTTATCAACCTTTTGCATGTTATTTAAAGCCAGAAAATATTTTTAGATTGTAAGAATTTCTTGGAGATAATAATAATTTTCTGATACAAGTCCTACTAATTAACCCATAGCTGGGAGGAGAAGAAGTGGATTCATACCTTTTCCAAGGGTATTTGTGTGTAAATAAATAGAATGAACCAAACTGGAACTGAAACTTGACTCTGATTTCCAATTTCAAGCTGCTATCCATTACACCAGCCACACATCCAAACTTGCAGTTCCTGGTACTCACAAACGGTCACCCATCTAGGTACTGGCCATACTTAACATTACTTAACTTTGGTGATGGTATAAGAACTGCTGTTTCCACCTGATATGGTTGTAAGACCACACAAGAACATTGCTTACGTATTGCAGCCACATCTGGTCTGGTTTCTGCCATTTATTTAGAGATTCATTATGAGATCCAAAGAAGAATCTGCAATGTTAATGGTCTTGACATGGCATCTCGGCATCAGTTACTTTCCCACTGTCATAACATAGCTTCCTTGTGTCTTTTCTGTAAATATCTTCATGGTAATTGTTCTGATGAACTTTCCTTTCTAGTACCTAGCTTTATGAATTTAAACTCAGTACTAGATTGGCAGTAAGTTTTCATCATTTTACAGTTGAAATGGCTAGATGTATCTATAAGTTCTATGCTAACAATTTCTTTTCTCACACTTCTTTCTTGTGGAATTCTCTTCCGGGCTCTTTGTTTCTCAGTTAAATTTGATCTTCAAAAATTTAAATGCAATGTCAATTGTTATCTTCTGTCTTCTTAATTCCTATTATTTTATTGTTCTCTTTCCTTAATAGTATATGTTTTCTCATATTCTCTAATACTCAGTAACCCTTGCATGTTAGTAGTTTTATTGTCTTGCTTCAGGTGAAAAAATGTAATACTAAATAGTTGTGTACAGTTATTAGAAATTTTTAGATAAAACATTTTCACTATATACATTGACATACTAGAAGTCAAAGGATATGTTCTTAGTAGTGTGTAAAGACACCTTTAACTTGACAAGGCAGTCTTCTGGAGAGATTTTGAGCCATGTTGTCTTGATAGACCTCCATAGTTTCTTGATATTGACATTTAAATTTTTGAAGATCAAAGTTGACTGGAAAGCAAGAAGCCAGAAGAGAGTTCCACAAGCAAGAAGTGCAAGAGAAGAAACTGTTAGCATAGAACTTATGGTTACATTACAACTGTAAAATGATGAGCTCTTGCTGTCAATCTACAAGGATTGGCTGAGAAGTTCATAAACTGACCAAGATACTCTCAGGGAATATGATCAAATGAGGTTTTATTTTTCAACATAGTCCCTCTTGCATTCCACACACTTCTTCCATTGGTGTTGCAATACTTGGATCCCACTGGTGAAAAAATTAAACCCGCGTAGAACAAAAAACAAGTGTCCTTTAAACAGCAATTGCTTGCAGAACAATGTAATATACCAAGCCACTGTAATATCAGTAAATAATGAAGAAAAAATATTCATAGGAGTAACTGGAGGACACTGGAAATAGAAACTATGCGCACAAAACATCCTTTACAAATAGTAAATATGTGAACAGCTATGGCAGTATTCTGGGCTCGGCCTGGTCATGGCAACCAGTTATGGCGGTGTTCAGGGTCTAATCCTGGTCATCGCAATCAGATTATAGCAGCGTGGCTGGGACCACGGCCTGCAGCCTGCAGCCTGCTTGCCCTGGTCAGGATTGATCCCGGTATTGGAGAACAAGCCGTCAGCCCTCACTCATTGGTCGTTATCACAGCAACTGGTCTTTAAGTTGACCTCTTCAACTATGACCTCTCTTACCCATGTTGTGATTTTTGATCTTAAGAGAGTCAAGCCAAATTATCACTGGGGTATCTCAACCAAGCTAAACCAAGGAGTTGAAAATAAAATAAATGATGCCTGAATAAGTCACTAGATGATCTTTATATCAAAATAAAAAGAAATATTTACAGTTTTTTTTTTTTCTTTTTCTTTTCCCAACCCATTCTAATATTTGGCGACAGAACAAAAATTCCGGGTAACTTTTTTAAGGGTGGCCAGACTTGACACCTGGATTTATCTTCAAGTACTGTGGTTTGTACTTTCTAGAATGGCACAAGGTTTATCGTCGGAATCTTTCTTCAGTGACAACTTGATTTAACTTCAAGTACTTTTGACTGTAATTTCCTGAATGGCACAAGGTTTTTCATCAGAGTCTTCCTTCTTCAGCAATAATTGGATTTAACTTTAAGTACTGTTGATTGTACTTTCACGGATGGCACAAGGATTTTATCAGAGTTTTTCTTTCCTTCTTCAGCAGATAATTATTATTGTTATTATCATTAGGTTGGCAAAACAGCATTATGGTAGAAATCTCTTAACTCCTTGTCGCAACTTCACTGTGACTGCAACTCCAACGGCAACTAACTCCAACTGCCTCCGACTGCCTTTGGCCCCCATGGGCACTTGTATTTATGGGTGTTCCTTCCAACTGGTGTGGTGTAGGCAAATAGGTGGGTTTTATGCAAATCTCCTAAAATTCAACCAGTCTCCTTTCATTTTCAGTTTCACACTTCCAATTTTGGAAGATCTCCTCTTTCGGGAGGAGCCATTATCTGACATCAGCCTTCCTGATGTCATCTTCTGCCTTTATTCTGTTTTCATAATTCTAATTTTTTCTCAGGGAAATTTTGGCTGACAACATTCTCAGCATGGACACTTTTCAACAGACGATTTTAACCTCTGGCCCCTGGCCCTGCACCTGGCTAGGCAGTATCTAATTGTGTAACTTTTCAACCTGTTCTCCATATCCTGGGAAAATTGAATCCCCTTCTGACAAAAAAAAAAATTGTCTTTTTAACCCTTTTTGTCCGTTCTGTACGCCATGTTAAATATTGTTACACAGTACAAAACATATCTGGGAGATTAAAACCAAAAACCAAATCACACCAAAAATATCATGGAAAAAACAGCTTCAGCCTCCAACAATAAATCCAAAAACTGTAGAGGAAAAGTAGCTATAATTACCTCCCCAGATCAACACAAACTATTAAATAAATGATCAGAACTCTTCTCAAAATGCAGGAATGAAAACAAATTTATACAACATTATTTAAAAATTGAAAACTGAAAATGAACAAGAATAAATGAAAATAAATGAATAAAATAAAAATAAATAAAGTGTGAACAACACTATAAATAGCTAAAAAACTGCATTATTTCCACTTAATAGTCCATAGAATAATTCAAAACATAACCATTACCACCCACCAAAATAACCATTAGAATAATACAATAGACTACCCACAATGCATCACTGATCTCTATATATAAATAGTCAAGCAAAAACACAACGCACAGGCCTGATGATTGGGTTTAGCATGAAACAGACTGTTGCCTGTAGATGTTGACTTCAATGTTCACATTTTATACATATATATATATATATATATATATATATATATATATATATATATATATATATATATATATATATAATTTCAAGTTATGTTATATATAGTTTATATAATCTGACAATTAAGACATTTTTATGTTGTGTCGGGAAATTTCACCATAAAATTATTATTATTATTGATATACACTGTGATCTTTTTTTGTAGGTTTCTTTCAATCCTCAGAAAGAAAACATTTTGGCCAGTGGCTCAACTGATGGACTTGTTTGTGAATTTGATCTCACTCAGCCAACAGAAGATGAAGCTCTTTTCTTGACCCTCAATTCTCGTTCTTCTGTGGTCAGTTACCATTTTTTTATTTATTTAATAACCATTTTTGCTTTTTTAAAGATATGTTGTGTCTGTCTTAATATATCTATACTTTTGTGCTTATGGGTGTGTGTGTGTGTATGTATGTATGTATGTATATATATATATATATATATATGGTTAATACAAATATAAAATTTTGGCACTTAGCTGATTGATGTTATATTTAGCATCCAGAGTTTCGTAGATGAAATTTTGGGCAACTATTCAATCCACTCATAAGGAGGTATAATCAAATGTCTGCCAATTTTCTTGTCTTCGTTATTTTTATATTAAGTTAAGAAATAATTTATGCACTTTTTATTATTGTTAGCTTGATTTATTTGTGTGCGTGTGTTTGTGTATATGTATGTACGTTTATCCCTGTATGTGTAGGTTGTTGTGTTCAACTCTTAAAGTCAACTGTGAATATAGCAACAAAGTCCTTAAATGCTTATAAAATATATATATTATATATATATATATATATATATACACATATGAGCAAAAACAAAAAAGATACTTCCCTATATACTAGAAAAATCCCAAAAGAACACATGAACATTGAAATCTAGAACACAGCATAAGCAATAAAAAACAAACAGTTGAAATGTTTTAATTCACAGAAACACATATACATACTCACATACAAACCTTGAAGATGGTCTCAGATGAGATTGAAAGTACTTGGAAAAATAAAAACTATTCAAAAGAAAAATTTGGTATTTTTCTTACTCAATTTTCTAAATCTACCAAAACATTAATCTGCAAACTTGAAAGGATCACAACGAAAACTAATCGACCTGATATATCTAAATTATTTAAGCAAACCTGTTTGAATATATTGAAGTTTTTGGCTCTTGTTATGAAACATGAGAACTCTTATGTAGTGATGGAATCATATTTTTAAATAAATAATATATATATATATATATATATATATATATATATATATATATATATATATAATACAGTGAATGCTGTTGATAATGAAACTACTTGATTTAAAATAAGAGAACTAAAATCAGTACTAAAAATAAATATACAGAAGAACAACAACAACTCCTCCTCCTTGGATGAATACTAATTACATTTTAGACAATTTAATGTGATGTAATGGTTAGCATGACCAACCTGGCTGACCATTATCATTGTGTTGTGAGTTCAATCCACAGTGAGTGCCCCATACAAAAATTTGACATCATAAAATCTACCTCTTTTCCTTGTTTTAATTTTTTTTTAAATAATTTTAAATCTTAAAGAAAATGCTGAACCTAAAGAAATTTCATGGATATTCAACCAAGATATTCAATTAATTTTGGATATATATTTTGGCAATTAAAGCATATAATTTTGTTACAGTAATTTATTACCTGTGATGTGCAGGTTATTGGTTCTGAAAGTGGAATTGGTGAGCTGAGTTCAAATTCTGTTCACTAATGCCCTAGGGAAAGAATCCATCTTTTCTCTCTCCAACTAGAGGTTAAAGAACAGACAAGACTAGGTTCTCTAGCCTTGGATGGCAACCAGCCCAGGAGATAAGCAAATTTGAATTCAAAACTGTGGAGAAAGCAGTGGGAAGCGAATTTGCTATCTTTCCCAAGAATTGTGGTAATTTGCAGAGTATAAAGAAACAAAATGTATGGAGAGTATATAGCATTTAAAAAAATAATTTATTAACTATGGAATGTATCTATGTTGATTCCAATCCACAGTGGGAATGACTGCAAAACAATTTCCCCTCCCCAATTTAGAGGCAGAAGCATACAAATACATGCAGGGATTTCTTCCTAGCTAATAAAATAAGCATATTCTCGATTTCATATGACTCAGTCCTGGTCTGTCTTGTCTTGAAGTCAGAATGCTATGTTTGCTTATCCAAACGTGCTCTTGTGTGTCAACCCTAATTCTTAGTTTGTGAACTTTTTGCCTTATTCTTGTTAATTTTCTTTGTATATATTGTTTGCTTGCTTTATATTATTTTTTGAGCTGTTTTTTTCTTTTCTTTTTCTTGTTATTGCTTATTGCAAACTTTGTTAATTCTGTTTGTTGGACAGTGTTTCTATTTATATTACATTTAACCACGGTTGCTTACTCTACAATCTATATAAACTATAATATCTTACAAAGGCAAATAATTTAATACCATTATCATTATTGTTTTACCTTTGCTTTGTGTAGTATGAGTTGCCCCCAAGTCTCAAGTAGAGACTTCAAGAGACATTTTGCAAGACGTGAAAAGTAATCCTTTTGCAATTCATATATTTTATTGCTACAAGGAATATATTTGTCTGCTTCTTTTGATATCATTCCCAAAGTAGGGTAAGCCCTATACTTCACAGGGAAGTTTAGAGGGATAACATACTTTTCTTGGCAATCTTTAACCTTTATGCCTGCAAAAAACAGCATGTCATAAGGACAGTTATTCCCTTGACACCACTATTACTGTATACAATGTATATTTTTGTTTTAAAAAGCTACAATTAGAATTTTAATAAAGCCCAAGCATATGAAAGTGAATTTAGACATTTTCTTTGTTCTTGAGAATTGGCAACAAAGATTATAAACACTATTAGATTGCTTATTTACAGTAATAAATTTTATATTGAAAAGATGTAAACCAACTATAATTCATTTGACACTACTATTACTGTATACACTTTTAACTCCTTCAGCAATGTTTTAAAAATCAATGATTAGAATTTTAATAAAACCGAAACATATGAAAGTGGATTTATACATTTTCTTTGCTCTCGAGAATTGGCAACAAAGATTTTAAACACTATTTATTAGATTGCTTTTTTTTACATGAATAAATTCTATATTTAAAAAATTTATATAAAAATATATAAACCAACTATAATGAAATATTATTTAACATTTTATAAAGAAATAAATATGAAAATAATTTTTTTTATGCATAAATTTATAAAAATGTCCATGAACAAAAAATTTTAAATAAACATAACAAGTAAATGCAATTATAAATTTTGACAAAAATGCATTTTCCAGACATTTCTTTCATTGCTTTCATCACATAAATTCAATAAAATAAATTTTATTTTCTGTTTCTCATTTGTTTATTCGAACTTTCTTGTTCTATAGTTATTTATAAAATTATAAATATTGCATTATACTTGGTTTACATATTTTGATAATTTTTTTACAAATTTTTGAATAAAAAGTTTTTTTAAATTTATTTTCTTTTTAAAATTGTAAATAATAAATCTTTATAAAAGGTAAATAATAAATATCACATTGTACTTAGTTTACATCTTACTTATTATAAAACACAGATTGTGTGTGTGTCTGTACGTTTATATATTGGATTGATTTCCTACATTTTTTAACCAATTTCAACAAAACTTCACAGGACTACGTAAAATTATCTTGCGGTGGTTCTAACAGTGCCAAAAATTGGAAAAACACAATTGTTTTTGCACAAAATCAATTTGAAAACATGATTAAGAGGCATTAATGAAAGGAGGACAACTCATATCGAGTTATACTTATTAATATTGAGTTATTGAGTTATACTTATTATAAAATCCAGGTTGGTTGGTTGTGTGTGTGTGTGTTCATTTATATATGGGATCGGATTTCCTACATTTTTCAACCGATTTCAACAAAACTTCACTTTTTTTGGCAGGTAGTGTTTCTTATTGTCTTGCACACGTTTTTCTTTATTTTTACATTCAGAATGCTTTAAAAATTCCATTTACGAGACAATTGTTTATAATAAAATTCTATTCAATCGGTAGACTCATAACAATTGAAAACAATGCTTTTGTTTGAGTTTGGGTTTGACCAATTCATAAAAAGAACAAAGCAAAAAAATAAAACTAATTAAGACATGCTTGTCCGTCAACCTTAAACAATAATCTTTGTCAATTTTATTTTTCAGTCTTTATGATGGTCAATACTTGATCTATCTCTTACTGTTACATCCCCGGGCAATGCTGGGCTCTACTGCTAGTATTTTTATAAAGTCAAAGGTTATACATTAATAACATTAACAGTGTCAAAGGAATAACTGTCGTTTTGATAGAACTGTTTTTCTGCATGCACAAAGGTTAAAAATTACTCTTTTTTTCTTGTTTTTATAGTACAATGGTCAGAGGTATAATTTCTGATATGTGTAGCAAATTATTTACCCATAATGCTTCACTGGTTTATTCATAGCTGTCAATCATCTTCCTTTGTTTTTACCTACAGGCTTATGTTGGTTGGTGTGAACCTAAATACAATCACATTTACTGCACAACACATATAGACACATTTCATGTATGGGAAGCAGAAGAGGTGAGTTTTTTCTCTTGTTTACATTTTCAAAACTCGAACTATATAACAAAAAAGGCTTTTCCAACATTAGGAGCTCATGCAAAATTTGGGTTTTCTTTGCCTTTGCTAGGTGGTTTTCTTGAACCTTTTTGAAAGAAGTTGACCTTTATGCCCTTTGTATGACTAGTAGCAGACGTCTTCATTCAATGCCAGGTTCATGGTGGAAATTACAAAACCCATTTACCATGCCAAATCCCACATTACCTTGTCTATGTCTACCATCATTTCTCCTGCAGTTGTTGGATGAATTCTGGTGTGTGGAGGCAATCAGAATGTCTGCTGCATTCTTTCCTACAAGCCACATCCTCGTAGTCTTTGTTGCAGCTCTCCATTTCACATCTTATTGTTTTCATGGTGTTCAAAGTGTATTGAGCAACTGTCATCATTGCAGCAATTTGATGCCCAGCACAAATCATTATGATGCAGGTTACCCCACTCCAATATTCAGGTGGATTCCACTCGTCCATGTCAGTTAATTTTGGAACCTCTAAAACTGTAGTGACTAAGTTTCACAATGCCGTTCACTGTTTACAGATATTCCAAACGTTAAACTCTGTCAAATTTAACCTAAACACTCTGTAGCTTACACCTAGTACAGTCTCTTTTGCTGACGACAATGCTTTCTGTTTGCTTACATTTAACAGTTCGTCCTTTCTTCTTGCTTTTCTTTTGTACCTTATCTAAGAGTTCATTACGTTTTCATTTTGAGTCTGCAACCAAGATGATAAGTGGTGCTGGAAAGTTGACCATTACACACCTCTTCTATGACTGCTAGCGAATGTCCTCATTCAAAGCCAGCTTCATGATGGAAATTGCAACAACCATTTCCCATGCCAAAGTCCGCTTTCCCTTGCCTGGATCTTCCATCACTTTCTCTTGCAGTTGTTGGATGAATTCTGGTATATGGAAGTAATCAGAACGTCTGCTGCATTCTTTCCTACAAGCCATGACCTCGTAGTCTCCATTGCAGCTCTCCATTTCACAATGCCGTTCACTGTTTACAGATATTCCAAACTGACTGGAAAATATAAAAATATTAGACTTTGTTAAATTTAGCCTGACACCCTGTATGTTTAAATTTAAATGTTATTTATAATGGATATTCATATTTGAGTGGATGCTACAGTATATTTATTTATTTTTGTCTATAGGCCTGAATATTTGAGAAATCTTAATGAAAATAAAAAATATGCACTCTGCCGAAAAGTGCATATTTTTCTTTTGTAAGATTTCTCGAAAAATATATATATATATATATATATATATAATAGCTGGCCACTCATATTCGAGGATACCTGTCTACTAGAGCAGCTAGCCAATCCCTATTGCAGACACTTGCTCAGGCACATTTGTGTTTTGCTCTACATCCACAGAGTCCACCTGTGGTTTATACTGCAACTATGCTGAGCAGACCTTAGTTACAGTTTCTGGGAGAGAGCATGTTATCTTGCATGATCAACAATTTGGACAAGGCCAACATACTCAAGCCCTTGGCCATGATGACTTGAGGCTTTGTGCTAGCATAGCTATCAACGACCGCCAATTGTTCTATCCAATTTCACTTACAAGGCTTGGGTTAATCTGTGGTATGGTTTTCAGGCACTTTCCAAAGGTGCCTGAAATGCTGGGATTGGCCTTGATCCAGTCCGATAACATCAGGAAGTCTCCTTCTTGATAAATCAACCATGGTGAGATTCGAACCCAGGTCTCATGGTCAGAAAGTGATTGTTCTAAACCATTTGGTCATGCGCCCATATATATATATATATATATATATAAGTAAAAATGATAATAAATTGTTTTGTTTGCATTAATAAATAATAGTATTTTTTTGATCATCATACTTTAAGATTGCCACAGAAGTTTAACTATAGGTTCAAGTATGCTGTGAGATAAAAAAGGTTGAAAGACATTGTTTTAGAGGGACCAAAAAGCTCCTGAAAGTCAATACTATTATAATTCATGGTTATCCTCATTTCATTTTAATATTATGATATCATAGAGTTCACACTCCTCCCCAGTCTTTTGAACTGGAGTAGAGATTTATCCCTTGTTTCCTGTTTAGGATTGGCTTGCCAGTTTCTTCTAAAGTCTTCTCATTCTCTTTCACTCCCAGTAGCCTCTTGCATCTTATTGCCTTGCTTCAGGTGAAATGATTTTAAAAAATATAAGAATAATCTTAAAAAGATATTTTTTCTATATTATGAAATTTTGCATTTCTTTTATAGGGTGATGCCATTTTCCAGGTCACAGACTTGAAAGAAAAATTAAATGCAAGTATTTTTTCAAATTATTTCTCTTTATATACTCTGTGCTACTTAAAAGTTCAGAATATTTGACACTAAAATACACAAATACTACTACCCTCTTCAAATTAGTTCCCTTGAACATACTCTTATAACAATCTCACAAAAGCTACTAGTAAAAAAAAAATTGTACTATATTAAAACTATTGTTCATCCAATACAAGACCACTCAAGTTAGAGGGTTATTAAATGAGGTTGTTGTATAGACATAAAAGAAAGAAATGCAGATTATGAGGATATATAAAATAGATAATGATTGACTTGAAAAGAAGATCATAATGATTGGGGAAACATCCTCTGGGGAGTCTGTTCCACAAGTAGCAGTTCTCAGAAAGAAGGTGAGTGGAACTTCCTTCTTACCAATGGAATACAAAGGGAATGAGTATGATCTAATCCTGTATACTTGGTATGGTGGGTCCTAACTGTAAATATTTGAATTGGTGGAACTAAAGCTTGTCTTGTTACCATGGAAATAGCAATAGAATAGTGATAGGCTTGTAATGTTTTGTCTGTGGAGAAAGGGGTTGTAGGGTTGAAAATGATTAATTTCCCACTAGGCCATGTAAACACTTAAACTTTTGAATGTTACAAACTTAGTTTTAGAGATCTTGAATGTTACAAGCCAGTTACTACCCCATTGAGCTGTTAGAGCAAGGTCAGAGGAGAGATCAGCTGCCAGGCTCTGATCATCTAGAATGCACCCATAAACTGTGGTATCATGTGCATAGTTATTTACTAATAGTCTAAGAATGATTCTGGGCAGATTGTTAGTATAAAGCGGAACGTGGGTAGAACCAAGGAGAGGGCCTTGTGGGATGCCAGAATTGATCCATTGGGCTTCAAAAGATTGACAATTAAAAATGACCTTCATGGACATACTCGATAAGAAGGACTTGATAATTGAAATGAATCTTTCAGTGATGCCATAGCTGCAAAATTTGTGTCTCATCCTCCTATTCTACATGATATAAAAGACTTTTGAGATATCTAAGGTGATTGCTCATGTAATGAATTTATTATCAAGTGCTTTTCTGATTCAGAGTGTAATGACAGTTAATACATCAGCAGTGGACCTAGAGGAGTGAAATACATACTATTTGTTGCTCAGGTGGTTGTTTCTGTTGAGGTGATCAATAACCTTTTTGTTGATAATAATTTCAAGGAGTTTACTGGTGACTTTAAGGAGACTGATGGATTAATATTGCAATGGGGCTGAGTTCTCACCTGCTTTCTTGAAAACAAGGCATAGAGTTGACAACTTCCATAGACCTTCAGGCAATGATTAAACAACTTCTCCAAAAAGCAAGAGCTTTTCTAGCCTCAAGACACCCATGATTGGTCAAACAAAATTTGCAGGAGCTGCTTGACTAGATGAAAGAGAGCTGGTGAGAGAGTCTAGGTTTGGTCATTTGGTAGATACTACATGCCACACATGAATGTTTTGTTTGTCAGGGTAAGTGTGTCCATAAATGCAAATCTTTAGAAAGTCACTCATTTATTAACCCAGGTGAGAGCTCCATTGGGATAACCCATATTAATTTTCTCAGTATCACATAGAAACAAAACTGGCCTAAATTTTAATTTTAAAAAGGCTAAAATAGTAAAACATAAACTCAACCCATTACAGAGGAATGGGAATGGAACGTATTATCATTGTATACCTTCTGCCACATTTGTCCCATAAACAATATTTGATGGACTTATGTGAGTCTGGGTAAAAAAAATGACATAATACATGAAATTCAAATAAACAACAATTAATAAATGTATTAACAAGACATGTTACAGAAGAATAAAGAAAGAAATGAAATTGAGGTTATGAATAGTTCAATGCAATCTTAAGTCTGTGTCTCTAAAGTACTTATGTGCCTCCTGTCTATTGGAGCAAAAGAAAATGTGTGGTTGCCACTCTAAAGTCAAAGGTAAAATAGGAAGAAGCTTTCAAATATCACACCACCTCTGATTATTGTTAGAGAGCAGTAATGCAAGAACCTTCTGTGGCATCACATTGACTATTATAAGTGAACAAAATAAGCTGCTGTTAGGAAAACATGGATAAGCAATCTTCCATGCTCTTATTTCTTTTTTTTATACTAAAACAGCAGAACCATTGCAGAGGAGAAAAGACCATAAATAACCATACTTCTGGTTGTTTTTATGTTAATACTTGTAAAACTAACTTTGGAACCTGGATTTAATATTTTTTGACTGATAATAGTGTGATAATATGAAATGCAGTATTAAATCCATAAGTGAGACAGACAAAATGTTTTCCATTAAAAATATCTAAGAGGTTCTTTGTTTTCACTATGGGAAGACAAAATGATCTGAATTGTGAATTATGGATATAGTAAAGAATAACATGGTCCATTGGATAAAAGTGTTGGTTGATTGATTCAAAAAGTGACTTGATCCAAAGAGTTGTGAGTTCAGTTCCTGGCCTCAGCAGAGAGAACAAAAGCAAATTAACTAAAACTGAGATGTCCAAAAGCATATGTAGGATTAGAACAATCTGCCCACCATGGACTACATAAAGGGTTTGGTTTGAAATTCCAGCAAATATTACCTGAAGAAGGTTGGAACATACAACAGTTGAAATGTTGTGAATGTAACAGTAAAGGTAAGAACAACAGTCCAAATAGTGTAAATAGTAAAGGATAAGATTAAAAAAATAATTGTAGTAAAATTCATTAGTACATGTAATTGTTGGGCTTTGACGATAAAACTGTTTTCATTATATTTGGAGCATGTTTTCATCACACTATGCTGATTTTTTTTAGCAATTTCGTGGAGGTACCTACTTTGTGATTATAAACATGTTTTTTTGAAGTATAAATAATTAAAAATTTTTGACACTTATTGCGACTTTTTTGTAGGATAAAATTGAATATATTGTCAACTATATTGGCAGTACAGATTCTGACGACTGGTTAATACTTGGTGGAACACATAAGTAAGTCTTATGTTTTTTTTTCATTTTTTTAATCACTATCATCCCATGTAAGGCAGTAAAACCACAAAGACAAGGGGTTACAGGGTGTGGAAGAATTAGGAACAAAAACATTAATAATGAGCAGCAAGAGTAATCAGGAGAACATTAGATAGTGATTGACATTGGATTTAAAATGGAAAGCATGAAGCTGGAAGGGAGTTCCACAAGCGAGAAGTGTGAGAAAAGAATCTGTTAACATAGAATTTATGATACATTTAGCTAGTTCAACTGTAAATTGATGAGATCTTGATGCCAGTCTAGTACTGTGCTTAAATTCAAAAAGTCTAGGTACTATAGCAGAGAGCTCATCTGAACAATTACCATGAAAGCATTTATAGAAAAGGCACAGAGAGGCAACCTTATGGTAGTGGTAAAGTGATTGTTGCATAGGTTTTCTTTTGTTATATTATCAGACTTTCCTGGGGAAAAAAGACTGAATTATATCTTCTTTATTGAAAACCTTCTCATACACACACACACACACACACACACACACATATATATATATATATATACAAAATGAAGACTTTAATCTGAAAACTAGTCATGTTTTTAAATAGCCTAGTCAGGGTTGGCACTAGAGTCTTAGGGGCCACCCACTGAAACTTTGATACAGGGCCCCCCTCTCTGCTACATGTAGATTTCAAGGTTTCCCAATATATTGGGGAGAAAGGCAGCGCATTTTTTTAAATTACCAATAATCAGGGAATTATCTAATTTAAATAAAAATTTCAGTACATATTCATTAATTATTTACTTTTATATTGAATAGGTATTTTTATTTTATATATGCATACATATATATATATATATATATATATATATATATATATATATAACCCAGTCTGTCCTGCTATTTTACCCATAGCTAGAGGGAGAGGAAGAGGATTCATACCTTTCCCAAGGGTATTATCACGTAAGTGAATGTAATGGCTTCAACTGGAATTCAAACTCGGCTCTGCAATTCCTCAAACCAAACCGCTAGACTGGGTTCTATAGCCTTGGATGGCAACTGGTCTAGGAGAAGGACAACTCTGAATTCAAAACCTGCGGAGGGTCGTTTGGGAACCTTGTGACAGTTAGTGCACCAGGTCTCTGTATTTGTCCCTTCAAAAAGTGTGGATGGTCCTGCACGAAGCCTTCACCACTATAATCAAATCTCATGTGATGTTGTCGGTTTCCGGGAAACTGATATGCTTGACCCTCATACATCGAATTTCGACAGGAGAGTCGACTATATATATCACATAGAAACAAAACTGGCCTAAATTTTAATTTTTAAAAGGCTAAAATAGTAAAACATAAACTCAACCCATTACAGAGGAATGGGAATGGAACGTATTATCATTGTATACCTTCTGCCACATTTGTCCCATAAACAATATTTGATGGACTTATGTGAGTCTGGGTAAAAAAAATGACATAATACATGAAATTCAAATAAATTCGAATTTATACAATTATTAGAAAACATGTATCTCTAACTACACACCAATTTTTGTCTAGTTAAGTCACACATGTCGCATTCTACTCAAAACAAATTTTAAAACAAACACAAATATACTAGTGCTGGCTATTATCAACATGAATCCCACTTGCCACGGATGTCTACAACTATCTCCGTGTGTTTCCTGTATATAGACTATAACAGAAGCCAGACAGCAGAGAGAGAGCAGAGGAAGGGAGACTTCACACACACACACACACACGCTAACCATAGGAGCTACCTGAGAGCACAGCTGACTGCCTGTCCAACCATTAGGCTGTGAAAACAAGCTGCTCCAAACACAGAAAGAGAATGGATTACACTATCAACATGACAAGCCCAAACTGATAGCCAACAAGCAGTCAGCTGGATTAAGCATATTCCTTTTTCATGCACTCATTTTACACTTCATACACCATTTATTTGAACGCTATACTATACGACTTTCATATCTTGTAAATGAAAATAAACCTTTTGTCATTTCTCCAAACCAGTGTCTAATTTATTTCTTAACTTCAACCAACTTCAACCTCAGATCAAATCTGCTCTCCAGCAGGGTTCAAAGCACTTTTTCTTAGTGGAATCCATGTACACATCAACCAGCACATCATGAATGACCAAAATATAACTATCAATATAAGACAAATACTAGTAGATAACACCAAAATACTCTACAGCACTCAATGCAAGGAAAGACTCAAAACTCTGAAAGCTATTATTATACAAAATAAACAGCCCACTTTAAATAAAATATCATTCCCCACAAGAGGAGGTATCTTAAAGTACATTTGATATAATTAATGTCCACACATATCTTATTATAATAATGCAAAAATAATAAATGAAATAAAATAAACATTTAGATTAAACTAGCAGTAGAGCCCGGCGTTGCCCGGGGATGTAACAGTAAGAGTTACAGTAACAGTATTTATTGACCATCATAAAGACTGAAAAATAAAATTGACAAAGATTATTGTTTAAGGTTGATGGGCACGCATGTCTTAATTAGTTGTTTTTTTTTTTTTTACGAATTGGTCAAACCCAAACTCAAACAAAAACATTGTTTTCAATTGTTATGAGTCTACCGATTAAATAGAATTTTATTATAAACAATTGTCTTGTAAATGGAATTTTTTAAAGCATTCTGAATGTAAAAATAAAGAAAAAGTGTGCAAGACAATAAGAAACACTACCTGCCAAAAGAAAGTGAAATTTTGTTGAAATCAGTTGAAAAATGTAGGAAATGTGATCCCATATATAAATGAACACACACACGCACACACACACACACAAACAACTTGGGTTTTATAATAAGTATAACTCGATATGAGTTGTCCCCCTTTCATTCTCACTCTGCCTCTTAATCGTGTTTTCAAATTGATTTCGTGCAAAAACAATTGTGTTTTTCCAATTTTTGGCGCTGTCAGAAGCACCGCAAGGTAATTTTACGTAGTCCTGTGAAGTTTTGTTGAAATCGGTTGAAAAATGTAGGAAATCCGATCCAATATATAAACGTACAGACACACACACACACACGCACACACAACCTGGGTTTTATAATAAGTATGATTAATAAATAAAAAAATTGCAATCTTTTCGTGTGGCCTCATTCCCAATAACCATTACACATGATGTTACGCTAGACCATTTCAAACTTCCAGCTTCCCAAAGGATACTAGGATGTAGACAAAAGAATTCTAAGGACTACACAAACACCACATCGGTTCTTGATAATGGCTGTGAAAGTTGAAAGTACTTGAACAAAAATAACAATTTATTTATTTGGACAGTTTATTCGAAACTTTGAGCACAATACTCAACACCTTATTTGAAAATTGACAAAAATACAATAAAAAATTAAACAGACAGACCTTGTTGGTTCTTTTTAATCAAACTTGTTTGATATATATATATATATATATATATATATGTATATATATATATATATATATATATATATATATATATATATATAATGTGAATGTTGTGAACTTGATATCTTTGTGTGTTCTGATCATTCAAATAAGCAATTAATTTCTTATAATTTTTTATTTTATTAGAGGAGATTTGAGCATTTTGCAGTTATCTAGCAAAGATGAAGTAAAAACTCTTTCCACTTTGACTGGTGGACACAAAGCCACAGTTCGATGTCTGATGTGGGATGCTCATGTAAGTAAAGTGTTTCCATTTGTGATTTATTTCACTGTTTTGTCAACATGTCATCATCATATTTATAATTCATAATTTGAATATTGTCATTTATAATATAAATTTATTTATATTCTCAACTGTAATATAATAAAATAAAAGCAATATTACCACTAATGATAAAAAACTTATTGACATAAATAAATAACATAAATAATAAAAAAATAATTAAAAATTATTATTTACTTTTGTGGGAGAAAGAGAGAAGGAGGTGATGTTTTATATAGATATATAAATATATATTATAAGATTATGTAATATATATAATATATATATATATATATAAATATTTAAGATTAATGTAATAAATGTTATTAATGTAATAAATCTGTTAATGTAAATTAATGTAATAAATCTATAATTCAACTAATTTACATTAATATTAAAAGGTTTAAGTTTAAATCCCCCATTGCTTGTTAATAATATTGGACACCTGTAGGACAAAAACTATTTACTGCGAATCCCAGGAAAACATACTTGGGGCTTGTATAAGAAACGCCACATAGTAGGAACTGATATTAAACTACAAACAACGGAAGGTTCTAGCCATAAATAAACTCCAACCCAAGACTGCTTCCCTCAGAATAAAATACCTTATGGCCCCCACCAGTTGCTAACACAAGCCCTTTCTCATTAGCCAGTCATCGACCAGAGGACATTGAAAATAAATTTAAAACAATGCTCTGAGACAGACACTTAGGGGCTGATGATAGCCATGTACAGAATGCTTGGAAATAGACATGTTGAGGTAATTTTTTTTTTCTGTATAAATATATATATATATATATATATATATATATATATAGTGATTATCATTGCATATGTATATTTCTTAGTTTGCTAGCATTGCTAAATAATTATTGTGTTCCTTTTGTTTATTTCATTTACTGTACTTTCTATAATCTGTTAGCAAGAATTAGATGCATTTTTCATTTCTTTTATGTAATATGCTGTATGTGCTTTCATGATCATCCAGCTGTAATGCTTGCATGGATTTCCATGACTATCCATTGCTGTTCAATTCTATTCATCATATTTGACAGGACAAAGGGATTACAATTTGTTGTTATATATCTGCTTGATATAGGTCTTGGCTTGTTGTCCTCTGCCGGCTTCTCCTTGTGTAAACTCCCACAAAAGAACTTCACCAACAATTTTGTCTTTAGCTCTCCAGCAATGCAAATTTGACTCTATTCTCTTTGATGATATCTGCTATTGGACGAAGGTTTCCATACAAATGGTCATTGATCAGATGATCTCTGCAAGTGATATTCAAAGCCACTCTTAGCATGTGAGTGTAGGCACCATCCAATCTTCTTTCCAGTTTTGAAGTAAGGGTGTAAGCTGAGCCGCCATATAATAGAACAGAGATAAGAGTTGCTTGAAAGAAGCTTCTTTTCATGTTGTCTTTTGTTTTTATATAAAATCTATTTATTTGCTTTCAGAGCAACAGCTTGGTGACTGGAGGTGAAGATTCAATGATGTGTCTTTGGTCCAATAAACCCGGGTCTGCTCCAAACGAACCTAAGATAGCAGTAAGTAACTTGTATTATGATGTTAGCCCATTAAGAATTGTTGATATGAGCAAAGGATTTTAGCCATACATGAGCCAACTTGAAAATATTATGAAGCTAGTCTCTTTTAGAAAATAGTTAAAAAGTGCATGCATTCATTTAACAGTTATCAGATATAAAACTGCCTGAGTGTTGCAAAAAAAAAAAGCAAGAAAAATATGATGAAAGATAAACTAGTCTGGAATAAATAATAATTAAAATATTTCATGTTATAATCAAATATAATGCAATGATGATGTTGATTTGTTTGCAAGTTTTGAGAGGTCACAGATTCCAATTGTGCCATCTTGTGTTTAGGAGCAAATCTGAGGCTTTGAGATGAGTCACTAATCAAATTTTAGCAAACATGGACCTTCATGTTAAAAAGACATTTTTTTCTATTGATAATGTTATTATTTTAACTACCTTCACTCTTTGGTAATGTTTATTGTTTTAAAAAGTGATGATTAGAATTGGAATAAAACTGAAACATATGAAAGTAAATTTATACATTTTCTTTGTTCTTGGCAATTTACAACAAAAATAATAAACACTTTTAGATTGTTTATTTGCACTATTTATTTATAATATTGTTTATTGGAATAGTTGGCAAAACATCAACTAATTGCCAATTGATTCAAACTTTATAAAATGGTAAATAATAAAGATTTCCCCATAATTGGTTCACATATTTTAATAATTTAGTAAATGTTTATAAATTTATGAACAAAAAATTGTTTTCATATTTAGTTCTTTGTAACATGGTAAATGAGAAATATTGTGTTGCATTAGTTTGAATTGTATTAATTTTTAGAATGTTAAAATATAACATTATTCTTGGAAATAAACAATCTAATAAATATTGTTTAATATTTTTATTGTAAATTCTCAGGAACAAAAAATATGTATAAATTCACTTTCATCATGTTTGTGTTTTATTACAATTCTAATCATTGCTTTTTAAAATAATAAACATTGCCAAAGAGTGAAGGTAGTTAAAGTAAAAGCAGTTACATGGGAAAAGCTATCCTTTTAACTCTCCATTTTATTGTGGTCATGAATGTCCATGTTTGTCCAAATTTATTCAACATTTTTCCTTGTTTCATAAAATTTAACTAGTTTCTGCTGTCCATGGACTACTCAGTTAATGTTCACCTCATTTTCATCGAGTCTGTATTACATGGCTCAGGGATTGAACTCACAATTACTACATCACTAAATTCATAAACCAACACTTTAATCCCCTAGGCTATTTTCAGGTGGGACAACCCTGAGCCTTGGAACCTTAAATTTACATCGCATGCTGCTGATATTGATGTTGCTGTCATGCTTGATGACATTTACCGAGGCTTCTCTTTTCTTACTGTTGCTGCTGCTTCTTGTGAAGCCTTGCTGTCATTTCTCTTTCTTTATTAATGGTTCCCATAATGTATTTTTATGCCATACCTATTGAGGAGGCCCTCATAGCCCAGCATATACTCTGACTCAATCAAACATCTGACTCTTCAGTGTTCTTCTCTGTCTATTATTTTACTTTATTCCACAGGCGTTGATGGGTACCCTTTTCTTCCCATATATGATCAGCTATAACTGATTTCATTGTTTTGAACCTAATTACACCTTTTTGTTGTTCCTCTAGCCTTACTTTTAGTAAAAAGCTCTTTCACTTTTGTATTTTTAGCACAACTGTAAGGGATTGAATACACACATTTTTTTGTCATGTTCTTTATGTTAGGCTTGACTTTGCAGAGATTTTTCCATAGGCTTGAGTTTCAGTATCAACAGTAGGCAAACGTGTTTAATGCTCTTAGTTCTAAACTCAGGATTGTCTCATAGGATAATAGCCTAGTGGATTAAAGTATTGGTTCATGAATTTGGTTACATAGTAGTTGTGAGTTCAATCCTTTGATCTAGTAGTGTAGACTTAGGCTAAATACAGCAGGCAATAACAATAAATAAATAATAAAAAATACTAAATAAGAAGATTAACTATCCTTAGATATGGACAGCAGAACAAGAACAATCTACTTTTCTAGATCAAGTAAAGAATTCAATTCTAAATTTCCAGAAGTTTATCTTGGTTGACAAGTAGTTCATAAGAAGTCCAGAAGGCTGTTGTGTCGAAACTTTGTGATAATAACAATAAAGATGAGGACAACAATCTGAATATAAATAAAAATAGGAATATAGTAAAAGTTTGCCTGTGTAAAAGGCATGATTTTGTTAACAACTGCGTCTGAGTTCAAAAGTGTATGTTTCCTAATAAAGATAAGTACTACTTACTGACTGGCTAGAGTGTCCCATTAAGAACTGCAATCCTTACTGGAAAAAGAAAAAACAAGATAATTTCTTTTTGAAAGTATGGGTTTATAAAGGTACCTATCAGTTGCTGCTGATACTACATATTAACTCTACAGCCAGTTGTTTGTGTCATGTCTTAAACTTATCAATTATCACAAGTATAAAATTGTTGGTTCCAATCAGTATGGAATGATCAGTAAAAGCACCCTCTCTCCAACAGATGCATTCTGGGATTTCTTCATATTCAATAAAATAGACCACTTCTTGGTCTCATCCACCATATTTTTGTTCTTTCTTGTCTTCAAGCCAGGACACTACAATCACTTGACTGTATCTCTTTTGTGTGTTAACACCATTTTTACTTTGGGAACTTTTTGCCTTATTACTGTTGCTTTGATTAGTTTTGTCTTGCATATATAGTGTTTGCTTGGTATTATTATTTTCTGTTCTTTTTCTTTCTTTTGATATTGTTTATTGGAAACTTTGTCACTTCCATTTGTTGAGCATTTTTGACAATTACACTTAACCATGGCCAATTACTCTACAAAAATATTTCTTTTAAACTGTGCCAACTTAGTGATTTTCAAATTTGATTTGGGCAATTGAACACCTTTGTGTTTTTGATGTTATTAACACAATGTTTTGACTGAGCTATTCTTCAGGCATATAATACATGAGGAAAAAAGAGAGAAAAAACTTTATTTTCATAAAAATGGCAACAGTAAATGTGATCATTAATATATTTCTGTTGCCATGTTTCTGAGGAAATAAGGTTTTTATTATTAATATATATAACTGATGATGGCTACCAAATTAATCAGTTGAAATATTTTAACATCAACAAAATGAAGGAGGAATTCAATTGCTTGAACAAAATTTGAATTTCAATGACTTTTCTTAAACTAATAGACAAAGCAAGTATTCTGTATGTATGCTGTCCCCTAAATCATGAAACTGTATGAAAATTAAAAATTTTAAAACAAAGACTTAGATTTTTAAACCTTTTTGCAATTTTTCATTCATTCTCTCTAAATGTTGTAACTTTAACAGTTTTCATATAGAAAAAAAACAAAAAACAACCTGACTTTTTTTTCCAACTAACCATAAACTTGACTTCTAATGATTCATAATATGATTTTTTTTTTAGAATAAACTGAAGATGAAAAAAGGAACAAGAAAAGTCCAGCCATATTGAAACATATTCATTAAACAGAACACATGTATGATATTTTTCATTCAAACTCACAGAATTTCTTGTTTTTGAAGATAAAAACTATGAGTTTCAAAGATATATCATTTTTATAAATTTTTAAATAAATTATCTTTAATTTGTTTTGTGTGTGATGTTTCTTTTTTGTGTCATTCTGTTAATTTATTTTCAAGATAATTACAAATCTGTTATTACTTTTTGAAGTAGTATTTTCATTTTAATATTCAGTTATTTTTCATACATCTATCTATCTATCTATATATATATATATATATATATATATATATATATATATATATATATATATATATATTTCAGATAGAGTATATATTTAAATTATTTTGGAATGGGATTGATTTATGTGTTATATATTTTAGATGCCATGAGGTTATGGATTTAACTGTTTTTTAGTATTTTTGTGGTAATGTATCTTGTTTTTGGAAAGTAGTTAAATATATAGCCTCATGTTATACAAAATATATAACACATAAATCAATTCCAAACTAAAATAATTTAAATACTAAATCTAAAAAAAAAAAATCACCTACTTTAGTTTCGTTTATTAGACATCGAATTGTATCACCTCATGTCTACCATAAACTTGCCTGACTTTTTATTAACTTAATGAATATTCATGAGCACACCTATACCTAAAATTTTGAAAAACTAATAACTCTTGTTTTTTTTTTGCTCTTGTATATGTTGCAAAATAAAATCCCTACATTTGCCTTGATAAAGTCTCTCAGAGGACAAAAAGTGTTAGCTAAGTTTTCTTTTTGTCTTTATTCATATATATATATATATATATATATATATATATATATATAATATTACTATTAATACACCTAGTATCAAAAGTAACATGCCAAATATTCAAGGAAAATAAGAAATAAGGCTACCAGAGTTAGATTTTACCTGGAACTGTTGGTTTTTCTAGCCCAGGATGGGGAAAAAACTGTCACACTGAAAGTAGTCTTGCAAGGAAAAATGTATGTGAGTTCAAGTTTTACCAAGAACCAATTCTTTATTTCTAATCTGCACACTTTATTAATAGCCATAGAATGACATTATGAATAGTTGTGATGAAAAGCAAATGACATTAAGATGGAAGAAATGTCAAAAATTAATAATTGACAGTACCTCATCTCATAAGAATAAAATTCAAGATAATATCACTATTAATACTACAAGATGAAAAACAACTGAAATTAAAAGGAAAGAAATGCTTATCAAAAAAAAAAAAAATTGATAGGATGAGTTACATTTCTTAGTTTGATTAGCTCAGAACTTCATAGCTAGCACCTGCCATGCCATGTTTACAGTGACAAATCATTCCCATACCCTTTGTGTTTCTTTGATAAAAAGCAAATTTCACTCAGACAGCTTCTGCTCCAGAACTGTTACTTTGTAGAACAAACTCCCAAGCAAATGCTTCCCTGACAACTACATTCTTGGTGTCTTTAAGTCCAGGATCAACGGATATCTATTCTACTTTGATTTTTTTTAAAAATCATTTCACCCCAAGCAAGGCAATAAAGTCATTAGGACACAAGTACTTACTGAGTGTGAAAAAATAAAAGAAAAAGAAAAACATTATTAAGGAGCAAGAACAATAAGAGGAATCAAGAAGACATTAGATAACAATTGACACTGCATTTAAATTTTTGAAAATCAAAGTTGGCTGGAAAGCAAGATGCTGGAACAGAGTTCCACAAGTGAAAAGTATGAGAAAAGACACTGTTAGCATAGAAATTATGGTTACAACTAACCATTTCAATTGTAAAATGATGAGATGCTTAAATTCATAAAGTCTAATTACCATAGAGGAAAGTTCATTAGAACAATTACCATGAAAATATTTTTAAAAATGGCACAGGGAATTTACATTATAGCAGTGGGAAAGTGACTGAAGCTGAGATATCAGGACTATAAAAAATATAGGCCATCTCCCTTTGGTAGATGGCTCCTGCTGATAATGAGAAGAGTCTATTAAATGGATGATAGTGGACATGACCCAAAGTTAGGTGTGAGATAGGATTTTGAGCATGAATGGACGTGTTTTAGTTACACCTTTCAGATAAGTGTATCATCTACTTCAAACAGATATGTATTTGGATTTTGTCCCTGATGCTTTGATTTTTAACTGCTAAAAGAATACATTTTTTAGCAATCCTCTAATTTCCTTCTTGTTATGTATTGTGTTTCTTGTATAAAATATGTTTTTACAATGTTCAATTATCTCACTTTGTTCATAAAGCCATGACTCAGTTTGGGGAGTTGTTAAATTTTCTACATGAACAATAATATTGCTGTTTCTTCTTTGTATTTAATCAAGAATCTGTAAATATATAGAAGGAGAACCAGACCATATGTGGCAGCAATATTCAAAGCATGGCCAAATGGTAGATTTATAAATATGTAAGATAAATTCTGGAGATAAAAATTGTTTAGCATGACACAGTGAACAAACTTTCCTAGCAGCAGACCTAGCAATTGATTCAATATAATCTTTCCACTTCATGTTAACAAAGAACGTTAGCCTGATAAAGTTAAATGTGTCACTCTTTTGGAGGTTAGCATCAACCATGCTGATGGAAGGCAGAAAGGGATCTCTCAGATGCTTAATAGTAGTTTTTTTAAGGCATCAAAATTAACAGGTCATTCCTTGCTCCAGTTAACAGCAGATTGTAGATCATTTTTGAGATCAGCTGCCAATTTGACCTTATCAAACTGATTAGACTTACTATTAAGACAAGAGTAAATAGTTGTGTTATCAGGAAGGTAATTGATGAAAATTAGGAACAATGTAGAATTCTGTATTAATGCAAAAAATCTAGAACAGTGGCCAGTCAGGACTAGATTCATTTCATAATTTGATCAGAAAGTCTGAATCAGTTCAAAAATTTGTCCAGAAATTCCACAACCTTTCAACTTGTGTAGAAGGCCATTATGCCAAACTCTGTCAAATGTTTTCAAGATATCTAAAGCAACAGCTTGAGCTTCACCATTCTTATCTAAAGCTTGATAGACTCTTTCAGTAATAATCTATATCTATAAAATAGATGATGTCTGTGTGTGCATCTATCTGCATGTGTATGCTATTTATGCACATCTACATTTCTCTACTGATTTTGATGAAATTATACACACATATTGCAAATTTACCAAGATAGGTCAAGATCAACTTTTCAATCTCCTAGCCCCTTGGATTTAGCAGAAAAATTGATAAAACTGAAGGTGGATACAACTTTTTGCAAAAACCAAGGCAAAGTTACATGTGAACAAAATTTTTATTGGATGAGCTGCTGTTCTTTGCACTTAAAGGCAAAACATAGCTCATGTTATGAGGTTTATGTAGAGTGCTTGATAGTTTTCCTGCAACATTAGCATTGCACAAAAAATTGCAAAAAACTGTGAAAAGATCAGGTTTTTCATATTACTTAAAATAAAAACTTGAATAACTTCCTCATTTTTTATCTGATCTTCTTCAAACAGGTTACAAAAAAATTTGCCATCATGCAAGAAATAAGATAGTGTGGTTTTAGTCCTGCTCGCTTCCTCACATATAATTGAAAGACTGTTCAAAAAGCCAGTTTTTGGCCATAACTTTCTGGTTTTTCATCTGATGCTTTTCAAATTTGCCATGTAAATTACATATGTTTCACATATCTTGCATGAATGTTAGGTTTAGATTATTTCAGTTAAATAGACGAAATCTGTGACAAACTAGGTTGAAAATTAGCTTTTGTCATTTAGCCAATAGTTTCTTCATATGATTCCATCCTAAATTGGCAGTCGAACAACCTTTGCAAAAAATTGTTTGAGAAGGATTATTGAAGTTTTAAAAGGGAAAATTTACTGAACAAGCTCTTATTAACCACAGCTTTACAGTAAACGTACAAAGAAGGAAGTGGGGGGGGCGTTCATGCATTTGCACTTGCAGTCGAATCAAGCTCTGATGCTTCATCCCCCGTTTTGTTTGGTTATCAGATTTGTGAACAATATGATACTATTTGAAAGTTATTACAGCCATAGGAAATCTACTGAATATCTAAAACATTGACACATTTTTACCCTGAACAACGACTACACAGGAAGGTTTTATTGGTGGAATTCCTCTATTAAGAAGAAGCAAACACTTGTGAAGAACATAAAAAAGAGTGGGGGGAGTAGCATAGTATTTCAACAGATGATACATGCAAGCGGGGATGCAGATAGACATTTCTTGACAGGGGAGTGCTGTTATACAATTGCAGCCATGTACACCTGGGCAACACTGGGTATCTCAGCTAGTCATTAATACATCAGCAGTTGACCTAGAGAATCAAAGTCTTTTTGCTTATCTGAAGAAAAACCCTGCAATGTGAGATGCTAAATCAATTCAGAGTTGATTAGCGCCTCTAGTATTTTGCCAAAAATAGGTAGAAGGCTAATAGGCTAATCTAAAGAACAGATGGTTAACCTGAGTTCTTAAAGACTGAAACTATTGAAGAGGATTGCCAACAATTCAGAAAGCAAGAAGCAGAAAGTGACTGAAGTTTAGATGAAAGGTTAGGATTGATTACATTACAGACCCTTTGAATTATGGATTTAGTTGTAGTCTATGGTGTTTGGGGAAATGTTGCCCACCAGATATCTCAGTTTTGCATGTTAGACTATTTTTTTAAGCTATTTTTGGAGAGAAAGAATGTGGGGAATCTTATGTCAAGGAATATGGTATTTCAAGCAACATTTCAGGCAACATTCAAGCAATTGAATATGGTACTGCAAACAACATTTAAAGCAACATTCAAGCAACTGAATATAGTACATCAAGCAACATCCAAAGCAACAGAATATGGTACTTCAAGCAACATCCAAAGCAACAGAATATGGTACTTCAAGCAACATTCAAGCAACTGAATATGGTATTTCAAGCAAAATTCAAGGAACAGAATATGATTCTTCAAGTAACATTTTAAAACAATCTTACTGAATAAAATTCG